CATAAAAAAGGTGTAAGCCTGTGATGTTCCTATCCAATTCTAAACAAAAAGCTTTACACAAGTAAAAAATTCACTTATCCTGGGATTTTTTTTTTATTAGCAGGTAATTCCAAAATACTACCAATATCCCTAGCCTAAACCTTGTGTGTAGGTTCAGCTACTTCTAGGGTTCCTAGCCTAGGCAAGTGAAATGGGAACCCATACTCACTTTCTGAATACTTAAATATTGGCTCAGACTGAACAAAAATACCAGACTTACTGGTCTGATCAGATATGGCAAAACCTATATAGTATTTTATCTGTTTTGATATATCAACAAAGATTTTGTACATAAATCCAGTAAGGACGGGTTCTGATAAGTGCCCAAGGAATTTTTGTTTGCAGTGTTGTTGCAGCTCTGTTGGTCCCAGGATATTAGAAAGACAAGGTAAGTAAGGTAATATCTTTTATCGAACCAACTTCTAAGAAGAGTTCTGCATAGTTCGAAAGCCTGTCTCTTTCACCAAGAGAAGTTGGTCAAATAAGAGATATTGCATCACCCACCTTGTCTCTGTAAAGGCATTTTTATTTCTTATTTGGAAGAATATTTTCTTCCAGAATTTTATGTTTCAGAATTTCTAAGAATACTGTATTATAAAAACAATGTTAAGGATAGTCTTCACCCACAGCCTCCATCAATCTCATGAGAAATTGGAAGTGGTGAAGATGAAAACACACATCCTTTGATACAGTGAAAAGTCTTTATTTGCCAATATTCTAATTTAACACACCAAACACTAGATTTATAAATCAAGTAAAAACAATGTGTCTAATGGCCAACGTGAGGGGAATTTAAGACCATACCAAACTGAGTGTTCCTCAGAAAATGTGAACTACTAGTTTGGAATTTTGTGAATAAGTTGTCAGATTTGAAAAATATTTCCATTCACGACCAGTTTTTTTTTTTAAGACTTATTGCAAGGTAGTTGTGTTCCTTCTAAAATTTAAGATAAATTTATTTTTAATCCGAGTGCTGTATTTGATCTACCCACCACTACAGATGCTTCTTTTATAGATCAGTAAAAACATATTTGAACTTAAAACAACAAAACTTTCCAAGTAATTCTCTGCCCAAGAGTTTTTTCTGTCTCTAATATATTTGCTAAATGTTTCTTAAAATAAGTGAATGACCTCTGTGTTCATAAACAGGAACTTTATGGTTAATTATGATTCAAACAGTGTCCTCATTACTACAGAAATGTAATACAAATAGAAGCTGCAGTGTGCATGGATGGCTTAGAATGATAGAATTTTTATTTACATCCATTTTTGTCTAGGCCAGGTCAGCATTTACCACCAGTCTCTCTACCTGCGAGAGATGTTTAGTGGGCCAGGTAAAATAAATTGGTGATTTCAGTCCAGAACCTGATGGGCAGACGTTCACAGGAGCATGAGAAAGAATCACCAACACAAGTAGCACACTTGCTTACAGCATTAGAAAAGTAAATGACTGAACAGGCATGGAAATGAACCATTCTTTCTATCTCAGGAAGCAGTCCCTCCACACAGTTATGGCAAGATGGCAGGGAAATCTGCACTTGCACTAACTATGCGGCACCTAAACTGAATAGAGTACCTTAGTTTTCATTGCCTTCAATCTGGCACTTTCAAGATTGTCTTCATGTAGGCAAATGTAGCAATTGTATACAAAGTATGAAATATTTTATTTATCCAAGTGTTTAAGTTCTGCTGAAGTCTAATGAAAATTCCTAAACTAAGAACTATGTCAAGATGGAGTCATAGTTGAGTGCACGTATTAGTAATTTAAAGGTAAAAAGCATTACAGGGATGTTATTTTCCCAAAACCTGGGTTTTTTTAATGCTTGGAAATTCAGAGTTAAGGTTACATTTAAAAGAAATCCAAAATATGTTCAGGCAAGAAATGTACAGTTGAGGCACCCAAATGACTAACTCTCCCTAGTAGCAATTGCATGCGATAATCATATGATTAAGGCATTTTAATTTTAAGATTAAATATCAATTTTATTTAGGCTAATCTCCAGGGTAAACCACAAATGTTGTAGCAAACCAACACCTCCAAAATGTTACTTCATCTACAAAGCTAGTCTTAAACCTAATTAATTTTAAATACTATGAACATTCTATATTAAAACTGTTATAGGGAACAAGTAAACCTGTATCTTATTCTAAGTTTAGTAACACATACTACGTATTTGTGACATTACTGTATTCTTCACAGGTTTTAGACTGGGATTTTCAAAAGGAGCCAAAGTGAGTTAGGTATCCAGATGCAATTGAAATTCAATGGGATTTGGGTGTCTTTCAACAGAATTTGGGCACCTAACTCCTTCAGCTTCTTTGAAAATCCCAGCCTAACACTGTACATGTAGAAGAATATTACTGGGTAGTTATGCTAAGTCAAAATGGTAATTACCATTGAACATGTAGAATGAATTGGATGGTAGAAATAAAGTGTATTTATCTTGTAATTACATGTTTACTGTTTATAATTCATGAAAAGAGTATTTGTGCCTTGCAAAACAAGTTTATGTGAAATATTAATGCTTTAGAAGCAGTGTAAGAACACATTAAACCGTAAAATGTGACACATTGTACAAGGAAGCTCTTGACAATCTAATGTAGCCAATATTACATTGCTTTGCAGGGGATCACTGCAGTTTTACCAGTGTACATCCAGTAAATGTATAAACATTACCTGATCAAACCAGGCCTACAAGCTAGCTATTTTATTGTTTTAGAGAACAGCTATCCTCATAACAGCTTTGCTACTTAATGAACATATTGCTTAGTAGTTTATAATCATCTTCTCATGATAGAATAGGGTGACCAGATAGCAAGGTGTGAAAAATCAGGACAGAGGGTGAGGGGTAATAGGCACCTATGTAAGAAAAAGCCCCACATATCTGGACTGTCCCTATAAAATCGGGACATCTGGTCACCCGATGATAGAACTTACCTAGTACTACAATCACTGCTGGCAACAGCTACATGAACTGAGATAATTCATTAATCAGGAGAGAGTAACTTTAAAAATATTTGTTTGAACAGAATGTCTTGGCAAATACAAATAAAAAGCATGTTCACTTTTAGCATGGAAGTTTGACTTTCCTACCACACCATTTATTGCTGGCAATGGAGTCACCAGGACTGCCAGTACAAAGGATAAATGTGGAAAGTGAGATCTCACTCAGTTACTAAAATCAATGTAACTATGTATAAAAGACTTGGGTACCCTACTATTAATAAATCAAGCATTAAAGCAACAAGTTAACGTAGTGTTCTCCTCCCAGCAGTACTACTGACCCCAAAATGTTCCAAATAGTTTGTAATAAACTAGCCATAAGCTGCCAATTTGTTACACAAAAAAAAAAAATTAAAAGAAAATTTCTGGGACAGCACCGAGGTCTGGTGGTAGATCCCAAAAACTGCACCAAGTTTGAACCTTGAGTGCTTTGCTTGCCATTAATTCAATTGCAGGGAAGAAGGGATGAATTATGTGGTTGGTTCTGTAATTCATATCTCTAGGATCTCCAGCAAAACAGGAAAAACCAGATTTACATTAGATATTTCAAATGTAAATAAGTAGAGGAAAAAAAAATCTAAGCGTTGTTCATGCCCTATTTATACATGAAGTGCCAACAAAAATAGGGCTTCTGATTTTAGGTTTAACACCGATAAAATATAAAATTGGGGGTGCCTATCTTCTACAGTTTTGCAATTTGATTGATTTTTTTAAACTTGCCTACCCATAAAATCTCTGATGTAGTGGTACCTGTGTTGCGTCTGTGTGATCGGGTATATTAATGATACCATTAACATGAAATTAAGCAGAAATGTGCTCCCGTGCACATGGCTGATATCTGAATAGACAAGTAAATAGTTTAGCAGTTTTGGATCCATAACTAGATCTAGTGTTACACTTTACTTTGCCTGAGATCATAAGATTTACTCTAGCTTTTATAAAGGTATAAATTGAGCTAAGAGGCTTATGTCACAGCAAATGTAATACATATGAATATTCAATTAATTATAACAGTTTTCTGCAAGTTAAAGTCATGAGGAGCACTTGAGTTACAATTGTTAGAAAAATAATGGAGACCAGTGAAGTGTTCTCTGGGAGGGAGGAATGTAAGAACAGGAATATACTTTTCCTTTCACTATAGCATCATTTTCTTAAATTTAAGAATAATTAATCTATTATATAAATAATCTAAGATGGTGGTTTTCAAATTGGGCCACTGGTGCTCAGTGGATCACTTACAGGTCAAATAGTGCTGGCTCCTCTTTGTTTCAAGTCTTTTCATTACTAAGAACAGCCTGGACGGACCACTTGATAGATGGGGCTGAAAACATGGAGCAACAGCCAGTCTATTTGCCTTCACGTGGAATCAATGCTACTTAAGGGGAAGAGGAAACTGGAGCTATCAGTGAGACAGGAGCTGCTACATGTTGAGAGAAATACCCCAGGATAAAGAAAACCCAGCTGCAAAGCAGTATGTATGTCCACGGTAAAGGGAGAAGGAAAAACAAACAAGAGAAGAGAGGAACGGAATGGGTGAGGGACAGAAAGAGCAAAAGTAGACTGATTCCCCTCCCCCTCCCCAAAAAGATATCATAATAGTTAAAAGATATACATTTTCCTATTACCTTCACAGTTAATGCTACTGTAGCTATCAGATCTTGCATGAATGGGAGAAGTGAATAACAGAGGTGATGGTCTACAAGATACTCTATTTAGAAGCGGCCCACCTTAAAACAATGTTTGAGAACCCTCAGTCTGAAGTGCTGCATATTTTCCCAACTTAATTTGTGATATCCTATCTGCCCTTCAGATAGGTGCAACAGTCAGAACTTACCATAATAATAAGTTTGTGTAAATTAGGAAATCAGTTATATTCATATATGGCTACAAAACAGTTTCATCATAAAAAATGTAAAGGAATTTCAAATGAAACTAGAGAAAGAACAAACAGACTTACCACTTGAACCATTTTGAGATATCTGGCATATCTTGGATCCTTGGCTACAGTCATGACATTTTCTGCTGCTGCTTCTGTTTTCTGTTGTCCTACCTCATGTATGCTATTCTGCTGTATACAGAGAACACTGTATGTAAATCTTGAGTAACAACATGGACCAGGAGTACATAAGGAGAGTTCAGCTAATAAGATTTGGGAGTAGGGTAAAATTAGCTCCTCTTTGCCCCAATGGACAGACTATAGACTTCTGCATGTACACACACTGCCACTTGGAATTACTTTCATTAGTGTTTGTCACAATATATTTTTGTAAGAGAAACTATTTTGAATAGCATAAATAATTTAGTTATATTCAAAGTTTGTGTGTTAAAGAAGTCATGAAAAAGCTGTCAGGCTGATGATCAAAAGCAATTCTGCTTCACTCAGACAGCTTTATTACATATCATTCAGTTGATTCAAAGTACTATACCAAAAAAGCTATGATTTTTCAAGTGTTTCATTTGCCTATGTCAGAGTAATATTCACATTTCTAAAAACAAAGTCTTAAAAAAGACTTTAAATTGTTGCTTTAAATTGTACACTTATCCTGAACAGGTCATTCATAAAGGACATTATCTATTAACTACTTTTTAGGTATTTATGTCTATTTTCTACTGTTTTGCAATTTGATTGTATTTTCGAACTTGCCTTCCTATAAAGTATACCATGTAGTAGTACCTGTGTTGCGTCCGTGTGATGTACACGGCCGGGGGACAAGTGCCCCTCCCCCAGCCCAGTCCAAAACCTGCCGCAGCCAGGGGACAGGCGCCCCTCCCCTGTCCGGGATCTACTGAGGCTGGGGTGCCCAGGTGCTGCTGCAGGGAGAGAACTGTCCACCGTAGCCCCAGGGAGTCCCACTGCACCCCAAACCCCTCATCCCCAGCCCCATCCCAGAGCCTGCACCCCCAGCTGGAGCCCTCACCCCCTGCACCCCAACCCTCTGTCACATTCCTGAGCCCCTCATCCCTGGCTCCACACAAGCCTGCACCCCAGCCAGAACCCTCACCACGCCCCACACCCTAACCCTCTGCTCCAGCCCTGAGTCCCCTCCCATACTCCACATCCCTTGGCCTCAGCCTGCCACATTAATTTTATTATGGGCACTAATATGGAGGTGATGAATCACATCACCTCCATATTAGTGCACATAACAAAATTCATTCCACACATGGGTGGGAAAAATTAGGGAAAACTCTGGAACCCAGGGTAGAAGGAGACTGGGTTCCCCTTCAGGCCAACAACAAAAGGTCCAGGGCCTTCACTAGGCAAGGTTCATGAGGTCTAGAATCTCACTTTAGTCCTAGCACGTAGCTGCTGGACTATTACTGAACTGGACTCAATTCTACCTCAAAGGGATGAGACTAAAAAGTGACCTGGCTGGAGGGCAGAGTCACAAAACAAAGCAGGCTGACTGGGGGTATATCTGCACAGGGATGAAAGATGCACGGCATGGGCACGGCTGGCCCAGGTCAGCTAACTGACTCGCAGGGCTAAAAATTGCTGTGTACATGTTCAGGCTTGAGCCTGAACTCTTGGACCAACCACCCGACATAGTCCCAGAGCTTGGGCTCCAGTTTGATCCCGAACGTCTAAACCGCAGCTTCACAGCTCCAGAACCTGAGCCTTGCGAACTAACGGCAGCTGACCCAGACAAGTCATGGGTTTTTTAAATCCCTATGAAGACCTGAACGGTGGGTGGGTCAACAAGGCTATGGAGAGGAAAACCTTGACACCACCACATCCAGCCACAAGATGGGTGCACTGGCTGGTGAGTCACTTTGTCACAGTCTGAATCAAGAACAAAGCTACACAAGTTTCTGAGAAGCTTACATTATAGAAATCACAATTTCACAAGTGGCACAGAAATTGTGAAAATGACCCCAAACTATCATCTTTAAAAAATAATTTAAAAGCAAATGTCTACAAACTTTTTAGTACAAAAAATAAACTTGGCTAGTCAATTTCAAGCACAGAACAAATTTTACAAGTAATGTCAGTCAATTTGGACTAAGGTTACTTGTAAAATTCATTCCATCCTTAGCCCTAATTACAGGGCATTAAGATGACATTTTCAGTTGCCAGATGCCTACTTGATGCTACCCCTTGAACTTTTATTACTTGGCTCTGATACCACCGCCAAAGTGGCAGTGGCTCACGATCAGAATCCTGAGATATTTATCTAGCTCATAATTTCCCCATGTTGTACTTTTTACCTTTAATGGATAAGACTAACATAGTAAATTTTTACCTTAGGTAAAACATTTTAATTGCTATTTGAGTAATCTGCATAGCACCCTCTAGTGGTAAAATGTATAAACTACCTTTTCCTTTTTTCAAGCCCTGTGCCAAGTGTTCCAAAGTCATGTTATCAGCAAGAGACCATACATACTAGAGAATCAACAAAGATTCTCTTATGTTGTCAGTTATAGACACTGGACAAAACTAGCTTTTAAAGAAATTTAATTAGTTGTGTCAGAAATTTTAAAACTGTTTGTAAAATTTCACTGATATATCTGTTCAACATTTAATATGTATTGTTTCAGTTAAACATAAGGAATCTTAACAATAATATCCACTACACATACTGAGATGAATACAAAACCCACAATACTAAATTCAAAATCTTAAAAAAAGAAAAAAAAAGCTTGAGTCAAGCAGATTGTTTTGTTTGTAGGCAGAATATGTAGAGAGAATGAATTTCAATTGTATTTGACTAGATTTTAAAATCATGAACATTGGCACAAATTAAAAATATTCTTTTATACTAACACACCAATAACTCCCAAATGACTCATGTTAGTCCTAACTTATTCCCCATATAAACTGAGCGTTCTCACTTAAAGTTATGAAAAAATACAAAAGATTACAGGAAGTACTTTTGCTAATATAATTAGAACATTATCTTTTTGCACTAATGTTTCCATCATCTACCATTTTGATCTCCAATATTTGGACTTGGGAGGACAGAAAAAGTTTAAGCTATTAAACTCATTCTACCAGGCTTTGTTGTTAAATTGTCCATCTGAAGATATGAACCTGAAGCCCACTTTCAGAAATATGTAATATTGCTTTAAAATGCAGAGCCAGTGGAAGTTTTCAGAGAAAAGTTAAAAAGAAGAACTGCTAATTATTGACTGATATGACTGACATTGTACAGTACTGCCTAAGAAACTCTCCACCTTTGCTTCTACTTTGCTATTCCCCTTTGGGGTCAGTGTAAATGAGCAGAATGTGTCTAAAAGTGAGACAGATTTCTTTCATATCACAATTCTGCAGATGAATCTACAGTTACTAAGCATTAATAAGCCAGGAAGAGCAACAATCTGTTGGATTTTCAATAGTGCAGCCATTGTCACTTCACAGCAACTCCTGCCAAGTTTCAGACTTTACCCATGCTCTGGGCTGAGGTAAACTATTACACTATAATTGCTATAAAACAGAGAAGAGTGGGAGACTGAGGGTGAAATGATCAGGAAAATACATCACTTCTCTATCTCAAAAATAAGGCAAGAGAGTTTTGCTTTGTGAAGTGGCCAACAGGAATGCTAATTCTTAATAAACTGAGAGTGTGTTTAAAGCATATCTAGCCTCCTTTATGCTGATAATCATTTAGTATAAAAGTGCTCCTTTAATAAACAGAGGATTTAATAGAGCAAGCATGCATTTGCAATAGAAAGTGCTAGAAATTTGTTGGTTTCAGCTGAAAGCTCAGATTCTAAAAAAACCAGTAGAACTGGAATGGTGGGATTTGAAATTTTAATCTCATGCATGACTTTATGTCCCTGACCCCCTTACCTACCTAGTTCAAGCTGACCTTTCAGTGGGATTTAATAAAATGTAGGAAATAATTTTTCAGTATAATATTTTTATTCAAACATAATTTAACAAAAAAGTGTAAGAAGCTTTTTTTTTAAAAAAAAAGACAAACATGAAATGGAAAATGTATTATAGAGTTAAAGTTTGGTCTGATTTTTTCCTTACACATGCTTGTTCACTCCATCTTGTTCAACCAAGAGGAAACACTTTCTGGGAAGAAGTATATTTTTTAAACTTTGATACTTACTTCTGACTGAGGAGATACAGATACTGAGTGCTGATCTGTAGTGGCTTGTGGAACTGGACCATTTGTAACACTGTTCATATTTGCACTGGACACTTCAAATTTGACATCTTCTAAGCCGGGAATAGATGACAACTGAATGCAGAAGACAATTTTCAAGTAAACTCTGAGTGTAACATCTTAAGTTAAACCGATAACATGCATTCCTATCACCTAGAAGTCAGCACATATACCAGTCAGGCACGGAAATCAATTGATAGTACCCATGTAAGCAAGACAATAGTTTGCTGTTTCCTCATTCAGGCCTGGTCTACTAGAGTTGCATGAAATTTTTTAGACAAATAGTTAATTCGCAAAAAGTGTGTTTCACTTGACTCAAAATTATGGTGAATCCATATCAAGTTCACAATTGTTTTGGCCCCAAAAATATTTTTCAGGACTTAGTGGTTAAAGTAGTCATCTGAAATGTGGGAGACTCAAGTTCAATTTGCCCCTCTGCCCGATGGGGAGAGAGGATTTGAACAGGATTCTCCATTACAGGAGAGTGCCTGAGCCACTATGCTACAAGATATTCTGAGGCCAGTCTCAGTGTCTCCTATTGAAACTGTTCCACTATGTATAAACACACACTGAAGAAAGGACTTGAACATCCTAAGTGAATACACTAATTGCCAGGCTACAGAGTCATTCTGGTTCTCTTTCCTTGGACCAATAACTACTCAGTATCATTTATAAATCGCAATTTGTAGTCATTCATGATTGCTTAGATTCTGCAGACGTTGACAGCATTGGATATTCATCCAGGACAATCCTCCTATTCAGCCTGTATAAGCAGGATTTTTCAATGCTTCTATTTTACAACCTTCAAGAAAGATTAGCTAGCTAGCTAGATGATAGATAGATACACACACATATGGAAACCTTCTGATTATACTTAAACTTTTGCACTCCGAAGTTTGAGTTAATTCCAAACAGAGGGCCTGCTTCTAGTGAAATCAAGGGGGTGTTGTTACTAATGTCACCGGAAGCAAGATTGGGTCTAAGTTTTATATTGTTTTTTTCTAATTCTAGATGACTACAAAGCTGTATCTTTTGGTCATACAGGATACATTTTTTCATCTAAATTATATATCTGTCTTCAATTTGACATAGTTTAGGCTATACTTTTAATTAAAGCTGTATAAGCCATCTAGTTCTTAAAAATAACTTTTTACTTTATGTGGAAGTTGGTGGAAACACACCCAACCATAAACAAATTAATCCACCAAGGTCTAGTGACATTAACCCCAAGACCTTTACTTTAAAGTAGATATAACAGTTAACAGAGTTAGTGTGGTACGTGCAGTTTTGGAGCAAATTACGTATTGTAATAAGGATAAAGCTGTATTTAATCTTTCCCTCTTCCAAACAAAAAAATTAACAGAAGACAATACTAAGGATAAAACCAACATCACCTTCTACTACATGCTGCCTGCTCCTTTGTTCCATGCTCCATGGCTGTTTAAACTGTATATTAAGTGGTAAAGCATGAGAAAGAAGAGTTTGCAGCAAGTTTTGATTTAGCCTGAGCTGTAATTTAAAGTTGTCATACTGACAGTTTATTTTAATACATTAAATTCCATTACAGCACAGTTCTGACGACAATTGTACTTCAGTGCAAAAGTCTGCTAATTATAAGGAAATCTGACTTTGAGCATTGTGAACAAAAACCACCAAAACACATCTATATATACATACACACCTTTGCATCCAAAATGTTAAGCGTTGTTTCAATTTGTTGGATTCGGAGAGATAGAGCTGACAACTTCTAGGAGAGAAAAAGAATTAAGACATGACAGCACTGTTCAGTGCCCTTTTAAAATCCAAAACTGGCAATGGTAAATCAAGGAACATGTAGACAAACAAGAAATATACTTATGTCCTCAGCCTATTGAAGATGCAAAATAAGTGACATGGCAACCCTTGTTAGAACAAGACCGAAGTGTGCTAACTATACACCAAGAGACACTGCTTCGTGTTGATTCCTATATAGCATTTGTTGGCATTTAAAGTAATTTCATTACCTACAGCTCTTTCTTCATTAATAGCAATGCTGCCAAAAGGCAGTAATGGGTATAGAGAGAGACTACACGCAAATGAGTACAACAGTTAATGAATCTTACTCAAGGTATTGGGTAATGAAGTTAGACATACTGTATCCTCGGAGTTACCTGTTTCAAAGAACTTCTATCAAAAAATGTGAAAGATGAAAGGTGAGAAGTAAATGACATATGAGGAGGGACTAGAGGAGGAGACACAAATCAGAAAGAATACAGGAAAGTGAATGGGAGTCATTTACAGTCAAAACTGTTGGTAAGCCAGAACAAACTGAAACCTTAGCATGCTCCAGTTCCATCTCACAAGCAAATTTTGTATAAAGTTCTTTTAAAATGTAACATATTTTAAAAAAATTAATCCACAGGAACTGTCACTGCTTTATCTAACCATTGCTATATCTAGCCAGACCATCCCAGTAAAGTCGGGTAGCAGTATGTAGCATTTTGACTGCCTTCTGGCATGCTAGCAAGATTCTGCCCAGCTCATAAGCAGAACTTTAAAACCTCAGAAAATGGCAATCCTTGCCAACATTTTAGAGAAATAAGAGGGACAGAGTATCACAAAAATTACAGTCTTTGGACTTGTTTACAGAGGAGTCTTTGTAAGAAGACAAGAATGGCCATACTGGGTCAGACCAAAGGTCCATCCAGCCCAGTATCCTGTCTGCCGACCGTGGTCAATGCCAGGTGCCCCAGAGGGAGTGAACCTAATAGGTAACGATCAAGTGATCTCTCTCCTGCTGTCCATCTCCACCCTCTGACAAACAGAGGCTAGGGACACCATTCCTTACCCATCCTGGCTAATAGCCATTAATGGACTTAACTAGATAAATTCATGGAGGTTCTCTTTTAAACCCTGTTACAGTCCTAGCCTTCACAACCTCCTCAAGCAAGGAGTTCTACAGGTTGACTGTGCGCTGTGTGGAGAACTTCTTCCTTTTATTTGTTTTAAACCTGCTGCCCATTAATTTCATTTGGTGACCCCTAGTTCTTTTATTTACTTGTTCCCATAACATCTTTTCCTTATTCACTTTCTCCACACCACTCATGATTTTATATACCTCTATCATATCCCCTCTTAGTCTCCTCTTTTCCAAGCTGAAAAGTCCTAGCCTCTTTAATCTCTCCTCATATGGGACCCGTTCCAAACCCCTAATCATTTTAGTTGCCCTTCTCTGAACCTTTTCTAATGCCAGTATATCTTTTTTGAGGTGAGGCGACCACATCTGTACACAGTATTCAAGATGTAGGTGTACCATGGATTTATATAAGAGCAATAAGATATTCTCCGTCTTATTCTCTATCCCTTTTTTAATGATTCCCAACATCCCATTTGCTTTTTTGACCGCCACTGCACACTCCGTGGACATTTACAGAGAACTATCCATGATGATTCCAAGATCTTTCTCCTGATTAGTTGTAGTTAAATTAGCCCCCATCATATTGTATGTATAGTTGGGGTTATTTTTTCCAGTGTGCATTACTTTACATTTATCCACATTACATTTCGTTTGCCATTTTGTTGCCCAATCACCTAGTTTTTGTGAGATCTTTTTGAAATTCTTCACAGTCTGCTTTGCTCTTAACTATCTTGAGCAGTTTAGTATCATCTGCAAACTTTGCTACCTCACTGTTTACCCCTTTCTCCAGATAATTTATGATTAAGTTAAATAGGATTGGTCCTAGGACTAACCCTTGGGGAACACCACTAGTTACCCCTCTCCATTCTGAAAATTTACCAGTTATTCCTACCCTTTGTTCCCTGTCTTTTAACCAGTTCTCGATCCATGAAAGGATCTTCCCTCTTATCCCATGACAACTTAATTTACATAAGAGCCTTTGGTGAGGGACCTTGTCAAAGGCTTTCTGGAAATCTAAGTACATTATGTCCACTGGATCCCCCTTGTCCACATGTTTGTTGACCCCTTCAAAGAACTCTAATAAATTAGTAAGACATGATTTGTCCTTTACAATAAGTTAATCTGCTGGTGTGTTTTTGTTGTTGTTTAAAAAAAAAAAGCGCCACTTGGGGGTACATACAAATTCAGCTGCATAATATTATATGTCTTGTTTAATTTGACAAAAGCCAGGAAATTCAAATTGAGGTCAGTGTCAGACTCAACTCTGAATTTCCTGGCTTTTGTCAATTTAAGTCAGGGGCTTTACATTTAATATATAGTTTTTGTACTTAAATTCATTTTATTATGTTTCACAAAATTAATATTTACCCATGGTTTAAAATATGTAGTTTGAGCATGAGACTTAACAGTGTTTGTGTGTTCTGATTAAATATATAGTTCTGTTTTGGAAAGTGTGTATTTAATAGGCTTCCTAAGGAGATATTGCGGTCCTATGGCTTCACAGAAGTCTCCCAGATTTTGGAGTACTGACAAAAATTCTATTGAGGTAGTCAAGCTGACACAAATACCAAGATCTTCCTCTGCTAAAAATCCAGAATTATGTTTAGTTTCTCCTCCTCAACCCTTTATGCTGGCACAATAGCCAAATATTACATTTAAGAGTCAGGAGGATGACTCAAGGCAGCACTAACAGATAACAGAATCTTTCATATCTGTATTGTCAAATACAATTTGACTAAATTGTTAGCACTGTATATGACTGTTTGGTATTCTAAAGCAAGCTAAAGGACAATCACAAAAAAGCTACTACTGACACCCTCAGCAAAAATGATGAGGCAAGAAAGTACACTGAGACCAAACTAACAGCTCAACTTCAGAAGAAGCCCTTTCAGAAGGAAGACAGATTGCATGGTGCTGCTTGTGGCTAACCAGAAGACTTTCTTGTGCTGTCAATATGCAACATTTTCATAGGCACTAAATTCACTTTGAAAACCCGTCACTGTCGGCTGACTTTAGCAGTTTGAAAGAACAGAAACTAAAAACTGGCTCACATTATGAACTACATGTCAATTTTTTTCATCATTACTCATTTTAAAGCTTTAGGACAAAAAAGCATCTTAAATCATTACCCTCTTTAAAAAAAGAGTCAGAAGGAGCAAGAGCGAGAAGTCAAAAGTTGGATAGTTTGTTGATACTGGATAGTTACATTATCCAGCTATGAAGTAGGATCAGATTTATGAAATGGACCCAGTTCCCCAGCTTCAAATAAGCCACAGCAAATGTTTAATGGCTGAGCCATGCTGAAGGAGGTAATGCTGAAACGTTATCACGTTCCTCCTTACTCCCAGTTTCTTGGTAATGTACTATGCGTATGTCTAATCCTACACTATCCTCAAACTCCCAGTACTTGGAAGACCAAAAAAAACCAAAACAAGCCCCCAGTAAAGCATATAATGACACCAAAAAAACCTAATCTGATGGCTTTTTATTAGACTTTTGATTGAGATTAAAAGGACTGAGATATTTATTTCACAACTCCACACAACCACCACTACTAATGTTTAACAGGTAATTCTGCTGGCAGTTTCTGCCAAAAGAAAATGGAACTGAATCGGCATGGAGAATGAAGTAGCCTCTCAACCTGTGCTGGTCTCTCTACTTCATGGTTGAAACACATTGATAAGGTAGGAGAGCTTGCACTGCTGCCATTTATATCATACCTGCTTTGTGGAAGACAACAGTCTCTAAGACTGTCAAATCATGTAAAATGTCCAAACTTCAAGACTTAATAAAAATGGGCTATTGGCTTAGTAAAATTAGAGGTTTCTCATACACAGGTGAAGAAATCTGCACTAGTCCACTTACTCAGCCGAAACCTTAAGTGGACAGTGAACTAATTCTTTCAACTCCAACTAATACACATGGTCAACTGGCACTGAAAGATGCCAAAATCAGAATACTATACTAGTATATGTTCATCCATGTGAAGACAGATGCAAAGTGATGCAATATGAACATACCTCTTCACAAACAGTAGAAAAGCGGTTGAGAAACTGCACTGTGTGAACCATAAACTGGTTTAGAAATGCCACAGTTCTTTTCTGCTGAATAGCTGGAACCTGTAACAAGAAGATGAAATTCAATGAAGACAAGTGCAAAGTACTTCACTTTGTAAGGAATAATTAAATGCAAAATTACGAAGTGGGAAATAACTGGGTAGGTGGTAGTACTGCTGAAAGATGTGCAGGTTATAGTGGATTGCCAACTGAATGAGTCAAAGTGATGCAGTTATGAAAAAGCTAACATTAACAGGAATGTTGTATGGAAGACACAGGAGGTAACTGTCCCACTCTACTTGGCACTGGGAACACACACTCAACTTGAGTACTGCATCCAAATCTGGGTATCAGCTTTAGGGGATGTGGACAAATCGGAGAGAGTCCAGAGGACAGGACCAAAAGTGATAAAATGTTTACAAAACCTGACCTATGAGGAAAGATTAAAAAAATGGGACATGTTGAGTCTCGAGAAAAGAAGAGCGAGGGGGGACATGATAACATATTTGAAGACTGTTAAGGGCTGTTACAAACAGAACTGATCAATTGCTTGTTGTGTACACCGAAGACAGGACAAAAAGTCATGGGCTTAATCTGCAGCAAGGGAGATTTAGATTAGGTAGTCTCAAACTGTGGGTCAGGATCCCAAAGTGGGCCACGGCTGGTGTTAGACTTGCTGGGGCCTAGACGCGAGGCTGAGGCCGAAGCCTGAGCCCCACCTCCCAGGGCTGAAGCTAAGGAAGGGGGGCTAAGGTTACATGCCCCCTGCCCAAGGCAGAAGCCCTTGGGCTTCAGCTTTGCCCCTCTCCTCCCACCCCCTTGCCCAGGGAGGGCTCAGGCTTCAGTCCCCACTCCTGGGGTCATGTAGTAATTTTGACAGGTTTCAGAGTAATAGCTGTGTTAGTCTGTATTCGCAAAAAGAAAAGGAGTACTTGTGGCACCTTAGAGACTAACCAATTTATTTGAGCATGAGCTTTCGTGAGCTACAGCTCACTTCATCGGATTGTTGTCAGAAGAGGGTCATGATGCAATGAAGTTTGAGAACCACTGGATTAAACAGTAGGAAAAACTTTCTAAATATATGGGTAGTTAAGCTAAGAAATAGGCTTCCAGCGGAGGTTGTGGAATCTCCATCATAAGAGGTTTTTAAGAACAGTATAGACAAACACCTATCAGGGATGGTCTTGGTTTACTTGATCCTGTTTCAGTGCAGGGCACTAGACTTGAGGACTTTGAGGTCCCTTCGAGCCCTACATTTCTATGATTCTATACTCAACAGATCGGCCAATGTTCTCATAACTCCTAGCATTAGAGAAAGCAAAGTGTTTAGATTTGAGATGGTATCCAGCATTAGCTTTAGCTCCAATAGCATGACATTAAAGATCGTGTTAGACACTAACTAGATGCAGGAAAAGAGGCATGAAGATAATTGGAACAATGCGATTTTAACATCCTGTATTTCACAGAGCAAGAAACGAATGCTACGTACATCATTAGAAACACATTCCCGGCTTCTGAATGGGGTTGTATAGAATCTACTTTACAGCCCTGAATACTCAACACACAAGATTTTTTGAATGGCCACTGATTTCTCACCCATGTTTTCTCTTGGGTTTGGGACCTAAAATAGCAAGTCTTAAGACAATGCAATATTGTGACCCCGTGTACAGTATCTCTATAGTGAGATAAGCTGCCTCACCTGTATGTGACTCAGCAGCTGGGCTTAAATTGCCCTTAAAAAGGCACTGAGTGTTTGTAATGGAATTTCATTTGTTTATAACAAAACTAAGCTTTACAAAGTTTGTTTAGACACATTATTAATGGTCCAAGAACATGAATTAGATATCACACAGAAATACACTGGATACCAAAGTGAAGGAGCAAAAAGAACAGAAATGGCCTGATACTGCTAGTTGGGGAGGATCTGCTTCACCTCACAGTTTTTAGCTAGGAATGAGCATGGAGCAATGACACAGGACACTGTGAAGTTGTGCTCCCCAAATAGTTTGCTGCTACAGTTATTTGCCACAGAGTTTAATGACCAGATGCAAACCAATACAGGAGATTGCCATCAGGAAATACATAGTTTGAGGTCAATATTACTTCACTGGCATGGCACACTACATACCTGCTGAAGTACAATGTGCAGAAGAATCCTGCACAGAAGTGCAAACACAGTTCCCTAACGTAAGATTTCAAAGACTTTCACGTATGACGGACTTTCACCTCACACACACTTCAGGGCGGCGGCGGCGGGGGGGAGATGAGAAAACACCAGCGACTCGCTCGAGGTGACTCGCAGGCTCCTGCTTTACAACTAAGGCTCAACTCTCCCCCCGGAAAGGGAAACACTCCTCGGTGTGCGGGGAGTGAGAGAAGAGAAACCACCATCGATCCGTCAAACTCAGCCCCCCGCCCCGGAGCGCTCTGCTGGTGGGGCTGGGCAGGGGGCTAGCGAGGATCACACGCCAGGCAGAGGGGAGCAGGCCCCAGGGGGAGGGGCTCTCCCAGCCCCCGCGCCGGGGAAGCTGAGGTGAAGGGGGAAGGCAGCAATTGCCCCCCATACAGGGGAGGGGTGAGGCCGTACCTTGGTCAGGTCGATGCCAGAGCCCACGAGGGGCAACCCATCCTCATCCATCCCCAGCGGCCAGAGTCAGCGGTCTGGGGGGGAGGGGGATGGCTAAACAAAACCACCACTTCCCCCCACCAGACCCAAGCCCGGAAGTCTCCGCCACTCCGTACCAAAATTAACCTCTGCCCCCGGATACAAAACCCGCTCTGGGGGGCACGCCCGGACGCCGCTAGAGTGGACCGGTGTTCCGGCGCATGTGCACAGGCAAGGGGAGAACGCGGAAGACACTCGGTCGCCCCAGTGCATCATGGGAGTTGTAGTTCGATGGGGCCCTGGCGGGGCGGCCGTGGCTGTTGTAAGACAGCGCCCAGCGGGGCGGCTCTGACGCTAGGTTGGGCTTCTCAGCCCGTGCTCGGCCAGGGCGTGGCTAGAGGCGCCGGACGGAGGGGAGGCCTCGGATACATGCCCCTCCCAACCCTCTCTGGCCTTCCCCCGGGCCCTCCCTCGCCCTAGCCTGCACATGTTGTGGGTAGCGGGGGATCCGTGAGCCCAGGGGACGCACCGCCACCACTTCCAATTTTATTCCAGTTCCATTTTGTAGCAAAACAAGCCTCCTCCAACACCGCCAGAGTAGCTGTCACAGGGGCGATGACCTAGGGTGACGAAGTGTCCAGTTTTTGGCTGGACCACTGTGATCCTGGTGGCTCTGATCAGCACCGCTGACCGGGCCGTTAAAAGTCCGGTCAGTGGGGCTGCGGCGCTAAGGCAGGCTAACGCCTACCTGTCCTTGCTCTGCGCTGAGCCCTGGAAATGGCCAGCAGGTCCGTCTCCTAGGTGGGGGGGCCACAGGGCTCTGCGCACTGTCCCCATCCCAAGCACCATCTCTGCACTCCCATTGGCTGGGAACCGTGGCCAATGGGAGCTGTGGGGGGGAAGGGGTGTGCCTGCGGCCAAGAGCAGCGCACAGAACCACCTGATGTACCTTCTCCTAGGAGCCGGACCTGCTGGCCACTTCTGGGGCGCAGCATAGGGTCAGGACAGGCAGGAAGCCTGCCTTAGCTCTCCCGCTGTGCTGCTGACCGGGAGCCACTTGAGGTAAGCCCACACCCCAGCCTTCTGCCCCAGCTCTGAGCCTGCACCCTCGCCCTCACCCCCCTCTGCCCCAGCCCAGAGCCCCCTCCCATGCCCTGAACCGCTCTGCTCCAACCCCCAGCCTGGAGCCCCCTCCTGCACTCCAAACCCCTCATCCCCGGCCCCACCCTGGAGCCTGCACCCCCAGTTAGAGTCTTCACCCCCTCCCGCACCCCAACCACCTGCCCCAGCCCAGTGAAAGCGAGTGAGGGTAGGTGAGAATGAGACACTGAGGGAGGGGGAATGTAGTGGGGGGGGGGCAGGGCCTCGGGGAACGGGAGTGGCAGGGGCATGACTTTGGGGTGGGGCGGGGCTAGGGTGTTCAGTTTTGTGCGATTAGAAAGCTGGCAACGCTATGATAATCACACTTCACAAGGCTTGCATTATTTAATACTTTTATATTCCAAGAGACTTACTTGGTTTCTTCAGCATTTCTCCAGAATCTTGGCACATGCTACAAATGGGCTCAACTGAGACATATACATCAGATAGAGACACAACAGCTCAGTGTTCAATCTTACAAAGCTTAATGCAAAAACAAAAGTAACAGAACTACTAATATGAGAAGCACTCTTTGCGGATGATTGTGCCCTCCTAAGGGAGATCATCAGTGCATTGTAGATTACTTCGCTGAAGCATCAAAATTGTTTGGCCTCACAATCAGCCTGGAGAAAACTGTGGTGTTGCACCAATCATCTTCACTGCTCTGTGCCATATCCCCTCAAATATCCATTAGTGGAATGGATGGATCCAGTGATGGATCTCTTAACAAAGAGATCACAAACAGGATACAGAAAGCTTCTCAGTTATTAGGAAAGCTACGTAACAAAGTCCTGAAATCCCACAACATAACCCTCTCAACAAAAATAAAACTTTATAATGCTTTTGTGCTCACATCTCTCTTCTATGGGTGTGAGACCTGGACACCATACAAATGGTATATCAAACATCTAGAGACCTTCCATATGCGATCTCTGCGTGCCATTATGAGGATCCGCTGGCAGGACAAAATTACGAACCTGGAGGTTCTCCAAAAGTCAAATGCAATAAGCATCAAGGTCATGCTGATAAAAGCCTAACTATGCTGGGTTGGACACGTCATTAGGATGCCTGAATATTAACTCCCCAGGAAAATTTTCTATGGAGAATTGGCACAAGGACATCGGAATCGAAGCTGCCCCAGAAAGCGCAACAAGGACAGCATCAAGAAGAGCACACACTTCGGTGCAATAAAACCAGATGATCTTGAGAAGGCTGCGTTAAATAGATCAGCATGGCGACATACAACACTCCAAGCTCTCCAAACCTTTGAAGAGGACAGAAATAATTGATAGCTGCAAGGGAAAAGTGTCATACTACTGCTATAGCTACCAAGATGCTCACCAAGGACTTTACTCGATCTGCTCACAAGCCTGTGTGTCATGCTTTGGACTTCGGAATCACTCCAGAATCCACAAAAAGAGAGAGCATGAAAATGTCATTGTCAAACTGATGGACTACCCACAAACATTCCAAGAGAGATACTTAGTTTCTTCAGCATTTCTCTGAAATCTTGGACTGATAACAGATATATGACACCTCCATAATCAAGCAAGACCATTCTGATGCTTATTGTTAATTATCTTGACTGAATAATAACTTTTTGAAAACCATAACATTAACTTTAAGAGCATAAACCAAATAAATAAAATCCCATAGTCCTTCACAGAGCAATAACTCCAGCTACGTAAATACCACAGAAGTACAAGGGACTGAGTAATTCTGCACAGTAGGCTTTTTTAAGTGAAGTGGGGTGGGGGAAAGGCACCCAGGCCGCTATGCAGCAGTCCATCCCTATTCAGCAAAGCACTTAATCACACTTAATCACATGTAGGCCCATGTTTAAATCCCATTGACCTCAACAGGATACAATCACACTTTTAAGATTAAGTTGCTCAGTTGCTTTGCTGAATAGAAAGGACTTAAGCACATATGTAAATGTTTTGGTGCATTGGGAATAGCGGCAGCATACCTCTATACAAACTCTTTGCGTCTGACCACACCCACAAATTCAGAAGATTGACTTTACTATCTCAGGATTAATGTTTAATGATGCACAGTATAGGACATTCAGGTGAGCTGACCCCACTTCTAGAAATAGTTATAAGATTGTACAGATTTTAAAAATAAAGACTCACCCTTGATAAGTTTTTCTTTATATGAGACTAGTCACCCAGTGTTTATATTTGTCAAATATATTGAGCTACTTTTGTGTTACGTACCCAGTGTGTCTTTCAAAAATGATTATGAATGCTCAAGGGTTTGGCACCTCCAAATGCTGGAAGCTTAAAATTGTAGACTATTGATTAATTTTTTCCCCATAGAACTTCTACAGAAACTGGAGCAAAGAGGGTTGAGGTTAGGTCCTGAAAAGCAGTGACTTTGTAAAGGATTTAGATACCCAGCTGAACATGAGCTCCTAGTGTAACACTGTGGCTAACACAATCCTTTGATATTTGAACAAGGAAGTATTGAGTAGAAGCAGAGAAGAGGCATTACCTCTATGTATGGCATTGGTGAGACCATTACTGGAAAAGTCCATCCAATTTTGGTGTCTATATAAGGATATTGAAAAGGGTTCAGAAAAGAGCAATAAGAATGATCTAAAGCCTGGAAAACCTGCCTTACAATAAGAGACTTAAGAAGTTCAATCTGTTTAGTTTATCTAAAAGATGGTTAAGCAGTGACTTAATCTTGGTCTACCAGTACCTACATGGGTAAGAGATTTCTGATAGTGGATGGTTTTTTAATCTAGCAAAGTCATACTAAGATCCAATGGAAGCTAAAGATAGACAAATTCAAATGAAATAAGGAACACCACCATTAAACAGTGGTGTTAACTAACCCTTGGAACAATTTACCTAAGAATGCAGTAGCTCTTCCATCACTTGAAGTCTTTAAATGAGGATTGGATGTCTCTTTAAAAGATATGTTCTGTCTTACTGTTTCTCAACTGGTGGGCTATGTCCCCCATAGGGCTCAAGAAAGACACTGAGAGAAATCACAAGGTGCTGCAAATTTTAATGCAATCTAAAGCAAAGAAAATCTCACTCTCCCACTTCTTATGTCCTTTTCCCCTCTAACGTCAAGTATTCTCTGTCAACCTGTTGAAATCTGCACACAAATAAATTATATAGGCTTATTATGGTTATCATTGGTACATTTTTACTCTTACTTTTATAGTAAATGTAAGGAGGTCACAACAATGTTTAACATCAAATAAGGGATTGACACCCTGAAAGGCTTGAGAAACACTGGTCTAGCTCAAGCAGAAGTTATGGGTTTCATGCAGAAATTTTGGGGTGACATTCTATGACCTTTCTTATGCAGGTGGTCAGACTAGATTATCATAATGACCCATTCTGGCCTCAAAAAATCTATGAATTTTTGCTGTTGAATACCTGGTGAAAAATCTTGGAAAAATAAAATTCTCCAGTCCTGATATTTAATTATGTTCATTTTCCAAGCAGTCCTCAGCACTGTCTATATAAGTCTTTGAGGTTACAGAAGTGAACTGTTAACATCTCTCATATTCTGGGAACTGTCCAGCCAAGGAGAAAGTATGTGATGAGCTTGTTTTAATTTTATTTTTTCCAAATAAATTTAAATTTTCAGGGATCAACATTTCATCAGGCTAAACTAGGCCTTTATCTTCCATATCTTTTAGTTGTGGGATAAGCCATTTTTTTCTCTATTCTTGCTTAAATCTTTGATCTGGTCCTGTAATTTCATCACAGTCTATTCCAGTTGTGTAGTGCTGTGGGCACTGATCCAGTTCTTAACTTATGTGCCAGATAGTTGCTTTCTAACTTACTGGATAGATCAAGATTCCCCCTTCCCTATTTTTTGTATCACACCTCGTTTAATCTTCTAAAATAGAAAAATTGATATCTAAAATAGCTGAAATTAGCAGAGATATCACCCATTAGACTTTATACCATCATGGCACAAAGCTGTGTCCTTCATATTTTCTCCTTCAACTTCTACAATGATCTGCTATTCATTTTTCCCCCTCCACTTTTCATATTCACTTCACTAACTCCAGGCCAGAAATTCTGCAGAGACATTCTAAGAAATATTATCTGCCCAGTTTTTACAAACAGGAAGAATCTATAGCTTGTAAAATGAAGTTTAAATCAGGCCCAGTGGGTGATCTCTGAGCCCTCATGTCTTTCCTCAAACTGTGAAAAACATGACCTATACCCTCCCACTAATTTTTATTAGTGCTGCTTCCTCAGTGTATTTGTCCAATATACTATTATAATCTCAGTTTATTAATCCAGTTCCTTAATTACACAAGCATATATTCTGTCTGGTCCTGGAAACTTGTGTACTATACATTGTTTAAGATTGCCTGAATATACTAAACTAATTGCTTTGTGGTCACTGACTCCCAGCTTTCCTACCCCCTTTATAGCTATTAGCAAGAGAGAGGGGGAGAGAGAGACAAAAGCAAAGAAAAAACATATCTTTCAGATGAGGTTTGAGAAGATGTGGAGCATCAATAGACTGGAGAAATAGAGGAAGGCTGTTCCAGTTGCAAGGAGCTGAAGGGAATAAAGCTCTTAGAGCATCAGTGGCAAGATAGCATGAAGTGGCAGAGAGAAGGCAGGTGCTAAGTGAAAAGATAGTCTAAGAAAGCAAATAAGAGTTATTTCAGTTTTATTTATTTTGGACCTCAGAATCCCTCTTGCTTTCTTTGAACAGTTACACATCTAGTCTGAGCAATTATCATACATTTTTAGGGCGCCTCTACATTCTCCCTACCTTGGTCCATCCCATGTGAAATAGGAAAGGTCTCTGAGGGAACATAGTATCTGTTGTGGCTGAAAATGTTTGTGTGTTACATAGCAAATCTATGCCTCACATTTTCATTACATAGACATCTGTGGTATATGGAATAGGAATACTGGTAAACTGTGGCCTTAAAAGGCAGTTCTACTCTTATAAAATGACTGTAAAAATGGCATTATGGAGTTTCCATCTATATTGTCTCAATAACTTCCATATCAAGTGTGCTAAGTTTATAAGGAAAAAGTGGTATTCCAAGTAGTAATGATACAAACTCAACTTGTGTTTCTTTCCTCATGCGTCTTCCCCAGTAACAGAGATTTTGCAGGCCAAATTCTGCTTTCAGTTACACCTGTACAATCCAGTTGTGTGCCACCAAGTTTGAAAGTGTGTAATGAGTCCGTGGGCCTGTGCCATAATCCACAACTACCCCCATCCCCAGCAGTGGCTAGGGTTGCCAGGTTTCCGGTTTTCAACTGGAATGACTGGTTGAAAAGTGACCCTGGAAGCTCCGGTCAGCACCGCTGACTGGGCCACTAAAAGTCCGGTTGGCAGCACAGAGAGGCTAAGGCAGGCTCCCTGCCTGCACTGGCCCTGGAAGCTGCCAGCATGTCCAGTTCCTAGGTGCAGGGGTGGCTGCTGCCCCCGCCCTGAGTGCCGGCTCTGCAGCTTCCATTGGCCGGGAACTGTGGCCAATAGGAGGTGCGGGGGCGGTGCCTGTGGGTGTGGGCAGTGCATAGAGCCCCTGGCCCCTCCGCCTAGGAACCGGACATGCCAACCACTTTGGGGAGCTCCCTGATGTACGTGTTGCCCGGCCAGAACCTCACCCCGAACCCCTTCCCACACCTCAACCCCCTTCCCAAGGTCAGAATCTCCTACTACACCCAAACTCCCTCCCTCCTGCACCCCAACCCTCTGCCTCAGCCCTGAGCCCCCTTGTGCACCCCAAACCCCTCATCCTTGGTTCCACCTCAGAGCCTGAACCCCCAGCCAGAGTCCTCACTCCCACACCCCAACCCCTTTCCCCAACTCAGAGCCCCCTCCAGCATCCTGAACCCCTCACTTCTGCCCCCCCCCAGAGCCTGCACCCCCAGCCAGAGCTCTCACCCCCTCCTGCACCCTAGCCCTCTGCCCCAGCCTGGTAAGGGTGAGTGAGGGTGGGGGAGAGGCGGCGACGGATGGAGAGGGGAATGGAGTGAGCAGCACTGCGGGGGGGGCAGGGCAAGGGTGTTCAGTTTTGTGCAATTAGAAAGTTGGCAACGCTAGCAGCAGTGTGAGATTTGTAGTGGTTTAACCTCCCCCAACTTCCATTATGTGCTGCCTATAACCTAGGTATTTCAAGTTGAATGGACATTTGGCAATTTCAACCTTCTTTTTCCTGTGCCTCAGATCCCCAGCTGTTTAATAGGGATAACACCATCTCACTTCAGAAGGGGGTTGTGAAGATATATTGATTAATATTTGTGAAGCAGTCAGAAACTAAAGTGATGAACACTATAGAGCATATTAATAATTTTGTGTTTAGGGCAGGCTTGGGATGGCGTGTGTGTAATAAGGCCTGTGCCCACATATTGAATGTGTATACAAAAAATATTGAATATCTTCCCATTTACTGAATGTGGCAGGGGTCTCATGAAAAAAATAGTATGTGATTGTGTAAATAAAGACTATAACAAAATGCATTTGCACAAGGAAGGCACACTGAGGTTGCACACATAACCTGACTTCTGGCATTTCTGAACTTTTGAGTGCTTTATTTTGCAGACTTAATGTTCTTCTAACAAGGTATTATTTATGTGATCATGTGTATAAACTGTAATGCTAGGTTCATTCAAATTTTAACAGCTGGATTCCGTAATATTTTATCCCCAGTGAAATTTTGAAAGGTGGTAAAAGCCGTATAGCTAATATCCTCACAGATGTCTTCAGAACTTCTGAAATACATCTTCTGTGCTGTTCAGCACCATTGTGTTTGTGCAGAGGCCTTTGACTCAATGCAGAAAAGTACAATATGTTGTTTTCCCTAGTGTTCAAAAAGAAATAGCTCATTCCTTTGTGTGCATGTTTGTTTATGGTAGAGATAGGGAAAGAGTAGAGGTCATTGTTATCATCATTTCTAAGACCTGACAATTCCAAACTTAATGAAGCTCCTATTTGTTTGTTCTTCTTCAAAAAATCCTTAAAGAATGGTTTTAGAGGCTGCTCTTTTCACAGTAGTAGATTGGAAAAATTGGTGGAGCTGCGTTTGGTAGAGATTGACTATTGTGGGGCTCTACTAACCAAAGAGAGTAACATAATCTTGTACAAGATTCTGAAATGGGAATACGTTCTATTTACATTTTGAAAAAATGGCAGGTTTACACTATATTCCTCATTAAACTTAGCTGAATCCTTACTTAGAGCTTCCTGCAATAACCTGTGGCCTTTACTGTACACCACAGCTAAATGTTATCAGAGGGCAAATTCAGAGCTAGGTAGGCAGACACAGCAAAGGATAGGACTTCTCGTACAAATAGAGAAACATACATGGGCTGGGATGGTGTCCCTAGACTCTGTTTGCCAGAAGCTGGAATGCGCAACAAGGAATGGATCACTTGATAATTACCTGTTCTGTTAATTTCCTCTGGGGCACCTGGCATTGGCCACGGTTGGAAGGCAGGATACTGGGCTAGATGGACCTTTGGTCTGACCCAGTATGGCTGTTCTTATGCAAGGTAACTACAAAGTGTTTTGAAAAGGTTCTCAAGCCAAATACATGATACAAGAATAAAAGCATCCCAGGAAATTCAGGTTATCTATTTTTCCTACAAAGGAATAAGGAGGGCAATAAAAATACTTATTTTTATTGTGTCTGCTTGATCTAAAGTAATAGAACTGATTCTTGTACAGGCAATCACATATTACCACTACTGAGGCTACAGAAAGCGTGTCTGTTAGGCACTTGTTATGAAAACACTTGTGCATGAACTTAAGTTTACTCCTGTGACTAGTCCCATTGATTTAATTCCTTCTTGTATGTATTCTTTAAAATATGTCCTGTTCTCTTTTTCTCATTGTTAAGGATATGGCTTGGTCATGGAGGTCACAGATTCCATGATTTTAACAGATCTTTATGACTTCCTGCGATGAGGCTTGGGCTTCAGCTTCCACCCTGCCATGACCATATCCTGATTTTGTACTTTTTTACCATAACTGCTCTGTGAATTTTGTCTAATTTTACTGGGACAAAATCGTATCCATACTCATTGTAAGTGACTTGTCACTAAAATCTTTATAAACTCACAAAATACAAGTTTCAGAGTAACAGCCGTGTTAGTCTGTATTCACAAAAAGAAAAGGAGGACTTGTGGCACCTTAGAGACTAACCAATTTATTTGAGCATAAGCTTTCGTGAGCTACAGCTCACTTCATTGGATGCATACTGTGGAAAGTGTAGAAGATCTTTTTATATACACTCAAAGCATGAAAAAATACCTCCTCCCACCCCACTCTCCTGCTGGTAATAGCTTATCTAAAGTGATCACTCTCCTTACAATGTGTATGATAACCAAGGTGGGCCATTTCCAGCACAAATCCAGGGTTTAACAAGAACGTCTGGGGGGGAGGGGGATAGGAAAAAACAAGGGGAAATAGGTTACCTTGCATAATGACTTAGCCACTCCCAGTCTCTATTCAAGCCTAAGTTAACTGTATCCAATTTGCAAATGAATTCCAATTCAACAGTTTCTCGTTGGAGTCTGGATTTGAAGTTTTTTTTGTTGTAATATCGCAACTTTCATGTCTGTAATCGCGTGACCAGAGAGATTGAAGTGTTCTCCGACTGGTTTATGAATGTTATAATTCTTGACATCTGATTTGTGTCCATTTATTCTTTTACGTAGAGACTGTCCAGTTTGACCAATGTACATGGCAGAGGAGCATTGCTGGCACATGATGGCATATATCACGTTGGTGGATGTGCAGGTGAACGAGCCTCTGATAGTGTGGCTGATGTTATTAGGCCATCCACAGCCTCAGAAACAACTCTGACATCAGTTTGTGTGGGCGGGGGTGGGGTGAGAAAACCTGGATTTGTGCTGGAAATGGCCCAACTTGATTATCATACACATTGTAAGGAGAGTGATCACTTTAGATAAGCTATTACCAGCAGGAGAGTGGGGTGGGAGGAGGTATTTTTTCATGCTTTGTGTGTATATAAAAAGATCTTCTACACTTTCCACAGTATGCATCCTATGAAGTGAGCTGTAGCTCATGAAAGCTTATGCTCAAATAAATTGGTTAGTCTCTAAGGTGCCAAAAATACAAGTTGTAATAGCTTATACAAACTCACAAATAGTAACATAATGTACAGTAATATAGACTTCAGTCTTGGTTTAATTTATAAGCTTCAATGAGATCTACAAAGCAAGCCATGTTTTAAGAAAACTGGGTCAATGGTTAGTCACAGTTTGGTAGGATATGTGCTATGTGTCCCCCTGCCCCCATCTTTAATGGGCCACTTCAACTTTAATGGTCAAGTGTTGACTACTTATGCTAAACAATCTTTTCCACCTTGTATTTAGCTTTGGCACTTTTAAGGCTTTGCTTACACTAGTACTTTTGTTGGCAAAAGTTTTGTTGGTCAGGGCTGTGAAAAAAACCAATACCCTGAACAACTTAAGTTTCACTGACAAAAGTGCTGGTGTTGACAGAGCTACGTCGGCGGGAGAGTATCTCCCACTGACATAGCTACCGCTGCTCATTGGGGGTAGTTTAATTATGCCAGTGGGAGAGCTCTCTTGCCGGCATACAGCAGCTACACAATAGACCTTAAGCTGTGCCATTGTAAGGTTCATAGTGTAGACATAGCCTAAGAACCTTTCCCAGACCTGAAGAAGAGCTCTGTGTAAGCTCAAAAGCTTGTCTCTTTCACCAACTTGCCAAAACCAAAAAGGATTTTACCTCACCCAACTTGCCCGTATTTAACAATCTCTTGGGAGGACCCCTATTTCTTTGCCAAAACCAGCAAATAGGCTTTCAAAAGGGTGAGCCCCACAGAACTCTGACTCAGAGACTGGGCCATCTGGCTTCTTCATTCTTGTTTCTCTCTGTGAGCTCTCAACAGCGAGTCCAACTGAGTTCAGACTCTAGCTGAAACTTTTTTTAACCTCTTCGGGAAGAAATGCAATTGGTAAGTATCTACAGTGACCCAGGGAAGCTTTTTAAAAACAAGGTAGCATTTATTAGTCAACCAGAATGCAGTGTTTGGGACTTCATAGGTTAGCATAGAAAAGCTAAGATTAACAGAGAGTCTATATAGACAGAAACAAATGCCCTATTGTCCTATGCTCTCCTGGAATCCATCTTGGCTCTCTCAGTGTCTGTCTCCTTGTTTGACTTCCTGAGCCCTGTCTCTCTCTCTGGCAGTACCCTTAAAACACAGTTGCTGGACCTCTTCTGTTTTTGTTCCAAGCTGCAGTCCTGGTGTTTCCACAATTCCTCCTTCTGGGGCTGCCAGGTATTAAGAGCTAATGTCCTTCTTGAGGGCACATTCTTGAACAAACATCCTTACCAACTCAGACAGGCTACTGTCTCCCCAGCTCAGTCCCCAGCTTACCAACTCAGTCTCCCCAGCACCCTTATCCCCTGTTCAGGGGAAGCAATTAACGCCTATATAACCAGTGGCTAGCCATACAAAGTCAGTGGGAAAAGTGAGTCACACATATTGATCATAAACATATTACGAAAATTCTCTCCTTCTCCTTTAAGCTGTAAACAGTTAAAATTGAAAAGCCCAGAGTTTGATAAAGTCACAACTTTAGTCTTTTTTGATTCAGCCTAGTCAAACTCTTAGGACTCGTTTATATTAGGGAAATTTGCAGCAATGTAACTACATCAAGGTCATTTTACCAGAGCAAACTCATGCAGATATATTTTGCTCATACAAAATGAGGCTTATTTCAATGCACCATGTCTACATTAAGGGTTTGCACCAGAGGAACTACACTGCCTTATTACACTAGTATGAATGTACCTAATCTAGACAAGCCATAAATCTGAGCCAGGGTTAAATGTGATCAAAAGATGAAGTGTCTCACAGCATCCCCAAAGTCTTGGACCTTTCTAGCTTTTTATCAATCAAAAATTCAAACAACAAATTCTATTTAATGCGTTTTAAAAACATTTTACTTATTTCCTAGATCTCGATGAGAAATTAGTTCTGCTGTTTTTGAGTTCTACATGCACATTTCATTAGCAGATAGAAGCAAGTTGGTGTTGGGTTTGTATTATATGAAACACAAGGATAGTTTATTTTGTTTAAAGTTTAAAAAAAAAATTCCACTCTGAAAAGCCAAACCCTGGAAAATTTAAGTCCCAAAGGAATATGTTTCAAGAAGTCATTTAAAATCCCTGGCTTGCAATTGCTCATAATAGTTTGAACTCTATCATAAATATAGCGTGTGTTAGCAGTGTGTTTTTTGAGGAAGATGTTATCCAGAAGATGCCTAAAAGAACTCTTTTTAACTATCTTAACAATGTACGCTCTGTGGAAGAAGAACGAATCTCCTTTAACAAAGAAATATCTGTAGTTTAATGTTTCCGGGCAGCATTGGGGAAACTAGTAATGATTGAGCTTCCAAAGCTTTAAATACTTAGTCAAACCTTATCTGAACTTCTTTGGTCTGCAAAATTTGACAAGAGATCTTGCAAGAATAGACTTTCTTGTGAGATTTCTAGTACTTCCTGCTGATGGTCAGGCCAAAAATACTGCACAGAAAGCTGTCTCACAGCACTTCTGCTCCCAGCTGGAACCAGGAAGTGTAGAAGAGAATGCAAATGAAATAAACATAGAAGCAGCAGGAAAATTATCCAAATTTTTTCAAACCCTGTTAAAAGGTGTTTTTTATTTTATCTGAACTAGTTCTTCCATCCCTAGGTCAAACTTGAAATATTAATTCCTACTAATAAGTAAAGAATGAATAAACTCCAGTGGAAAGGTATATAACGTGGGACAATGTCCAAGTTTATTCAGTAAATGGTTTGAATTATTGCTTCTTACCATACCCTTTATTGGATGATTATAAACTGATACAAGCTATAGGTCAAAGTAAAGTAAATAACATGTGGACGTAACTGAAGGCAGAACATCGCCCTGTATATACACACACACACAAGAATCACTTCACCCATCAGTGAAGTGCTGTCCAGGTTCAGGACAGCTGTTTTAAAAAGGATTTTTAAGGTGAGCTTGAGAGTTGGTGAGAAGCTACTCTTAGAGGGACTTAAGCCAACTAGAAGTACAAAAGCTGCGTCTACACAGAAAGTTGTGTCTCTACCACCAGGAAAATCAAATATACCATCAGCACGTCTTGTGATTTGCATGCCCTAATGACAGTAATATGGAAAACTAAATTGGCACTGAAATTTTTATATTGCACAAAAATAGAAATTCAACAGCAGAATGAAACATCAGTAATTCAAGTTGTTTGCACAACCTGAGTAAACTGGCAAATACTACTGTAACTTACAATTGTTCATATATATTTTATAAGCTTATACAAAAATGTTACAGTTCCCAAGATACAGTACTCTGTTAATAATCAGCATCGAAATGAAATAGCTATACAACTAAGAAGTAAATTAAACAGAAATAAAAAGCTGATCCAAGGAAATTTCCCAGACATGGTGTCATCTGATTCTCCATAGGGGCAACAATTGTTTTTACTAAGGTGGTCCAATAGACAAGCTGAAAAGGTCAGCAAGTAGATTAATTTTTTTCCCCCTGGAAGTCCTCTAAATCCATGCTTACAAAGGAAACTCTGGCAAAACTACATGTAAGAAATTGATATGTCCTCAACAGATTTTTTTTTTCATAGTTTGAAGCAAATAAAAAACCACTGATATCCCAATGATTTAGCTATGGGTTAATCTGCACTGCTTTGGCAAATAAAAGGTTCCTGGCATATCAGCCCTTCACAGTTAAATACATTCACAAAAGCAAATTTCTAGTGTAATCTTTTTTAAAAGACATAATGAAAAACAAATGTTAGCTGGTTTGAAATTCTTTGGCTATGCCTATTATGTTTTGAAATCCACCAAGTGTTATACTAAGGAAACTTCATAGAATTCTCCACCTATTCTTAATCCTGGACAATTTGACCAAAACATGTTTGAACAAGCTGAGTTTTTAAACACTTTTATTAGTGCAACATTTATTGTAATACTGTAATATCTTCATCTGAGCTATGACTGTGCTAATAAAAACTGAATTAGCAAAAGTGCAACAGTCTGAACTTTGGTAAAGAACAAAAATGATTTTGTTTTGTAGAAAAGTACATGAGAAACACGCTGAACAAATAGTGACTGCTCTTTTTTTTTTTTTTCCCCCAAACAAACACTTTATAGAGGTTAGAAACAGTACTAAGAAAAGCAGACTTGGCAATACACCTCCAAATCCCGGAAAGCAGTTCTGAGATAGTCCTTAAAAGAAATTAAAAAAAAAAAAAATCTTGGCCTTAAACCTTAAATACATAAGCACGCAAAGTAGAATATAATTTCTTCTCCAGTAGTGTGGGATTTGAGCAGCACCAGGAACAACACAATACTTAGGTCTGTGTCAAAATGTAACAACAAATTCTCAAAGCAGATTGGATTGCGTGTGTGAGATATCGCCAACTGCATGTGTAAGTGCAATATAAAAATGCTTATAATATACAGTTGAAATAAAAATGGGATTTCTAGGGCAGCAAGACATTTCTCTGTCTATGCACTTCTCTAGTGCTCATCACTGTTTCAGTGTCTAGGATGCACAGGCTTAGGCAGTTTAAATTTCACCTTAGAGGCACTGTTCTTTGATTGCTAATCTATATGAACTGTTTTTGGCAGATGCTACCCATTTGTCCTTGCTTCTCTTCTGACCTATGGAGGGGGTAGATCTTCGGGGCCCCTTTCCTGAACTTGCAGAAAAATGGTATGTCTTGGAGATGAAAAATGCCTATATCCGCTTCCATATGTTCAATAAGAGGAAATACACACATGGAACAGATTTTTGGTTTGCTTCCCATGCTAGAGATAGAGACTTGCTGTAGTTGCGAGGTAAAAACATGCTGCAGTATCTCAAAGCAAGAAAGTTGTAGCTCAACAAATACCCCCTAGGCACACACCCCTGACAATATTATTCCATTTGCTGAAATGTGTCCACCAATATCAGGAGAAACTTAGTCCCTGCTTATGATTGACTGGTTTGACAGCCTCTGAAGCTGCAAACACCCGGAAGATCCTAGTAAGGATCTGTGGACCTGCCTCGGCCAAAGAACACTTGCCTTGCAGTTCTGTCCTCTAAAACATTGGACAACACTTACACTCTTCCCCTACTAAACTTATGGGGCAGAGCCTCAGCTGTTGTAAATTGTCATAACTCCACCAAAGTCAATGGAGCTCTGACAATTTACACCAGCTGCGGCTCTGTCAGTTAGCATATTTGTTGATTAGATACCTGTCTCCTAAATGTTCACATACTCTACTCAATGTTTTGCCTAGCATAGACAGATAGTTAGTGAAAAGAAAGATAATTAACAGAAAATGGCAAATCTATTTTATGGTAGCATCCAGAGTATCAATCAGCATCAGGGCCCACTGACATGGTCCCTGCCCAAAATACCTTAGAATCTAACCAGGCAGTGACACATGAAGGGTGATGTGGGAAAGAGGGATACAATCAAATACACATAATTTTTAAACAGGTACATTTACTTCTCTCTCATTATACATAAAATGGAGACACATAACTCCATCTGTCCCTCAAACCTAGCCATCACTAAAACCAGCTTATTTCTCATCAGTATTGTGGCAGAGGTAGGTCTTTCAGAAGCATTTAGAGGGAAAACAAGGGTGGTGGCTTTCTGGATCATGGCCGTTGGATACAACTTCCAATTGCCTGATTTACAGCACATCATCATCAAAGATTTTTTGTCAGTTAATTTAAAGCTCAGGAGTGCAGCTCATCTAGATCTTAAATCCCTAAATTACTGGAAACCATGTCAGGAAGGTCTCGCTCCTATGGAGTTATGCATGTGAGTACCAAATGGGAGTATTCATGCACATAACTCTTTGCAGGAATGGGTCCTAATTCTGCACACAGCTAGTGTATGTATCCAAGAGTTCCTATCATTGTTACTCTGATCCCCAATCCCCATCCTTTCCACTCCAATTATTTGTTGCATCTTATCTTTAATTAGTCAATTGTTCAAGGCAGAGATGGTTTTTAAATGGTGAGTTCCTACAGGGCCCAGACATAGTGGGGCCCTGATCCTAATAGGACACCACTGTTATACCAAAATAGTTATCTATATTTAGTTCTATCAGATATTCTCACACCAACTCTATTTACCCTGTCTTTGTGGTATCCAACTGTTGTCACTAATAATTTCCTTGCTTTCCACACAAGGATCTCAGATATCCTTTCAATAATTATCCCTTTCATCGGAAGTCTAGCAAAATGAGCTGTTTTTAATATTTCAGCATTTTAAACTCCTCCAATTTCTATATTGACAAGTTGCTTTAATTTGTGTTTTGGAATTGTTCACATCCAAAGCTTTGTAGGAGGAAGCTTTGTGATAACATCAGCTTTTGTTTCTTTAGTAAGGATAACTGGAACTCAAGCTGCAGCAGATGGTAACCCTATGAGAGAAAGTTAAAGGTCTTCCAAATAATTTAGAATAGTCTAATTTTAAGACTGTTCATGGTGGCAAGGAAAATTAACAGCTGTATAAATGAGCGTTTCCAATCTAAGATGCACAATACTTAAGTTATTATAGTTTTTTTTTGTGGAAAGGAGTCAAGCAAGTAACATAATCAGAATTTAATGCATCACAAAATGGCGATGACACACTGACATGACTTTTCTGTTTAGAAGAGGGCAATTTTAAACTTAATTGGAATCACATGACAATTCATATGGTTAAAATGACTGTCTGGTTTGTAGCCATATCAACTGAATTTGTAAGAAACACTTCCCTTTTATTAATAATTAAAATGATCCAATGCTTAAAACAATGTGACATAGTAGGCTCTAAACAGTTTGTTTGCTTGTAACAGCTTGTGGGGAATAAACAAGCATGCAGTATTTTCCCAACAATTGGCATCTAAACAATTTTAATATTAGTTTATCCCCAAATATAATTGTGGTGGTAATTTTTTTTATAAGCCATACCTAGAACCAGGGGGACCAACAGTCACACCATGCTTCCAGGGACCTGACATATAGAAAAACTGGAGGAAAGTGGATTAGATTGAGGCCTTATAATTAGGGCTCAGCTGTTAGGCAAAGGACCTTTTGTCTCCTTAGGTGGAGCTGTAATGTTGTAATGCCTTAACTGTCCCTATTATAGACTGGAAGAAGAGTGCTGTATAACAACAAGAAATCCATTATGGTAAACTACATGTCAGTTTTTACTATGTCAGGCCTCATAAGAATTGTTTAAACTAACTCTGAAAAGCAAAGCAAGTGTGTCTATTATCTACAAATATAAAGTGTCAAGCATTTCTAATTGAATAGTGGTCAGAAAAACTGTTCATTTCCTCGCATGCATTAATACAATGAAAATAAGTCAATTTTCCAGATTCCTCATAGGCATAGCTGTGGGGAAATAGCTTTGATTTTGCTGTAAAAAGTGAGAAATGATTACTCTTTGACCAGGCTGGATTTAGATGCAGGCGACGGCCTAGGGTGCAGGCCTTGGTGGAGGCCGGGTTTTTGTTGTTAGCAACAAAAGGGAAAATAGAATATTTGAAGTAAAATGTTTCAGGTATTCCATATGTAGATTCATTTTTCACTAGCCTCCTAGAATGTTCTGGACCTTTGTAGAATCTCATGGAACCTTCCAGACTTTCTGAGAACATTTTCCTCAAACCCTCCTAGAATGCTATCAGCTATGCCCTCGTGGGTATATAAGGGGCGAGGCATTGCTAGTCAGTCAGTGAGATATAAGAACGAACTGAAGCGAAGCGAGAGCCCAGCTGAGATATTGTGAACCTTGTTTTATTGTGTAATTGTGAAAGTGTACTTGTGTTTTAAGACTTGATGAGTGTTAGTAGTGACTAATAAAGGACATATTTAATGAGACACCAGAGATATCTATCGAACCCTGATCTACGCAACAATATAAACAAATACTGTTACTTCTTTTGCCATGCTTAACATGTAATGTCTGATGACTTTCTAAGCTTTTGCTCTCCCTAATACTCTCTGTTTTCAATACAAATGCCATAAAAAATAAGATATTCAAAAGTTTAACAAATGGAAGGGGAGAAGCTGAAGATGCTTCTTGCCTGGGGTGCCATTTGGTCTAGGGTGAGCCCTGTTCTTTGAATATAATTATGATTATCCATTTCAGTATTATTCATCCCAAGTACTGTATATCTAGCAAATGTGCTCACCACAGTAACTTGATAAAACTAAGGACATTTCCTGACAACCGATAAAATTGTTTCTTTTTAGAATATTGTTGTTCGTGAAAGCTAAAGATAAACACTGGCTAGAGCCAGGCATGTTGCTTGCAGGTGCAATACAGATAACTTTAAAGAGCTGTGCTAATGCTGCTCATATTGACAAACAATATACAAATTCCTCTAGCAATAAGTCTCTCCTGGCTGAGATAGTCAATTAAATGGTCTAAAGCAGTGTTTTTCAATCTGTGGGTCGCAACCCAGTACTGGGTCACTGCATGTAAGGAGCTGTGTCACCTTGCTCTGCTCAGCACCGCCAATCAGAACATTAAAAGTCCCACTGTGATGTGACGGGTCTGGTCACAGAAACTCCCTCAAGACTGTCACTAGATATGCTGGGATACCACTGAGAACAAACCCCCCTGCCAGAGGCGGCTTCCCTCCACTCCCATCTTGCTGAGCTAGACACTCCAGTTGGCTACAGCACAAACCAAGAGGTTGGGCCACGCCCCCTGTAGTTCTACTGAAGCTAAGATTCCCTTAGCCCAGGGGCTTCTCTGTTAACAGGGACTTTCCCAGCAACCACTATTCAATCTTTCTGGGAGCCTAAACCCCAAATGAATCTGTTTTACTCTGTATAAAGCTTATACAGGGTAAACTCATAAATTGTCCACCGTGTATAACACTGATAGAGAGATATGCACAGCTGTTTGCTCCCCCAAGTATTCATTACTTACTCTGGGTTAATTAATAAGCAAAAGTGATTTTATTAAGTATAAAAAGTAGGATTTAAGTGGTTCCAACTAATAACTGAAAGAACAAAGTAAGTTACCAAGCAAAATCAAACAAAAACATGCAATTCTAAGCCTAATACATTAAGAAACTGAATACAGGTAAATCTCACCCTCTGAGATTTTCCAATAAGCTTCTTTCACAGACTGGACTCCTTCCTTGTCTGGGCCCTTTTCAGACCAACGTTATAGTTTATGGCCTGGGTCTAGCAATTACTCACACCCCCTAGTTACTGTCCTTTGTTTCAGTTTCTTTCAGGCATCTCTTTGGGGTGGAGAGGCCATCTCTTGAGCCAGCTGAAGACAAAATAGAGGAGCTTCCAGGGCCTTTTATATTCTCTCTCTCTTGTGGGCGGAAACCCCTTTGTTCTTCTGTGCAAAATCACAGCAACAAGATGGAATTTGTAGCCACCTGGTTAAATCACATGTCCATGAATGATTCAGCTTTTTGCAGGCAGATGCCATTGTTTACATGTTAGTTTGAATGTTCCCAGGAAAGCTCAGATGTGGACCGGCGTCTCCCAAAGTCCATTGTCAGTTAAGTGTTTCTTGATTGGGCACTTACTCAGCATAGTTCTTTCTCAAGAAGTTGACCAAATGCTTCACCGATGCTACTTAGAATCAAACACATTGAGATACAAGTACAGAGCCAATATTCGTAACTTCAAATACAAAAATGATACACACATACAGACAGCACAATCATAAACAGCAAATTACAACTTTTCCATAGACACCTTACTTGACTTCCTTTGTACAAGATTTGGTGCAACAATGATCTACACAGTCATAGCTCATCAATAACGTTACAGGCGGTGCTGCCCATCTAAGACACGCTAGTGCCTACTTGTTTCCACACCGTGCTGCAACCTGGAAGTGGCCAGCAGCGGTCTAGCTTCTAGGCAGGGGGGCCACGGGGCTCCAAGCACTGCCCCTGCCCCGAGCATTGGCTCCGCACTCCCATTGACTGGGAACCGGCCAAAGGAAACTGGGGAAGAAGGGGCACGGTGACTGCGGGTGAGTCACGCACCTCCACCAAGGAGCCAGACCTGCTGCTGGCCGATTCCATGGCACAGCGCAGTCTGCGGTGCACCCTGGTTATGCTGCTGAGCCGCCAGAGGTAAGTCCGTGCCTGTACTCCTGCCCTAGCCCTGAGGCCCCCCAAACCCAGAGCCCCTCCTGCATCCCAGCCCCCTCAGCTGCAGCCCAGAACCCTGATCCTCTCCCACATCCCAACCCCCTGCCTCAGCCCTGAGCCTCCCCCAAACCAGGAACCCCTTCCTGCATCCCAAACCCCTCATCCCTGGCCCCACCCCAGAGCCTGCACCCCCAGCCCAGAACCTTGACTCCCTCCTGCATCCCAACCCTCTGCCCCAGCCCAGAGCCCCCTCCCACACCCGTCATCCCTAGCTCCGTTGGGTTGCGGGCATCAACAATTTTCTTCAACTGGGTCCCCAGAAAAAAAGTTTGAAAACCACTGGTCTAAAGAAGGTTGTTTAAAAAATATCTCATCAACAAATATTGTGAAAAAAGATACTTATGTTTTATTATGAAAGTCACACCACTATCTCAAACATAGTATTTGCTTTAACAAATCTTGTTGTAATTGTCATCTAAAAACAAGCAAAAGGGATTCAACTTGAGATTCATGTGTTTTGGTTATTTTATTCGTGTTCCAATAAATATTAATATACAAGAATGAAGAAATCTATTCACTTTTTACTACAAAAAGGGACAATATTTGAGAATTTAATAATCAGAGCAGACATTTATTTTACATTTCTGTCACCCAAAAGAAAAGTTTATGATCTCCACCAACTGCACATAATGGAAGAGTCCTATGCCAGGTCAAACCGGATCCCACAGCTGCAGAGCCAATAAGAATGGGCTACAAAAAAATAAAAATAAAAAAGGACATTTTTTTCCAACATATCTTACAGATATTTACTAAACCAGAGCTAAATATGCAACCACAAGTTCAATAGGCAACTAAAATGTGAGACTTTTGCAAAAAAACACCACCACACCATTCCTTTAAAAAAAAAAAAAAGAAAAGAAAAAAGAAAGGAGAGTATTTAAATTAAAAATCTCACTGCCTACTGTCTTTTTCTGTCAGCTATTGTACCCATATTTTTAAAATACAATACTGCAAAATGTTCTACAAGTGATAGAATTGAATCTTTGCAGAGTTTCTACAAAGGCTGTCTCCACACCCCAGATGATTTTAGTAAAATCTGTTGTTATTCAAGGTTACAATTAGTATGTTTGGAAATAGTACGCTTTTTGTGCCCAAGACAATGAAAATCTGCCTAATATAAAACCTCCTTTCCTCTGTGCTATTAGAGAATTGGAATATATCTGAATTACAAAATACTGTAGGATTTCTTATAGATTATTTAGTTTTTATTTGCATTCTGCAAGGTACAACTCAGAAGTGGTATGATTCAAGTTGCCTTAATAAAGCAGATACAATTAATATTTTCTAAGATTCTGAACACTCTTAATGCTTGCATGTGAAAACACAGAGACGAATGATGGAAAGAACAAAGATCAACAGATTCTCATTCCTTTTGCAATTGTACAAAGAACAGTATGTGGCATATGCCCACTTGATTTGACTGATGATCCTTGCTTAGTGCTTCAAAGGCACAACTTATTCTTCTCCTACATCCTTTCCAATATTATACCCTGGGATAGTATTTCTCCAGCCTCAACTTGGTAATCAGTTCAAACATATAGATGTGACAAAAAGCCACCACAGTTAATCATCTGATTGCATTTATTAACTATGATTGTCCAATTTATTCTTGAGTCTTTAATATCACTAATGATGATTCTGTCAGTATTACTTGGAGTGGAGAATTCCATGGTGATTAAAAGACAAAAAAGACAGTCCCTCCTTGTATCTTGCATACACTTTATTTGTACATATTTCCAGAACACCAAGAATTGTAAATAAGCTTATTTTAAACATAGTAAGTATCAGAACCCCCTGATTTAGCCTTATTATAACTAAAAAAAAAGCAGAAAAAAGTGCTAAACCCAGAGTTGACAGTATTCTAAGATTTTTGTCTGGTAACTTTTGGCCTCAGAAAAAGACGACGTAGTAACAGTTTCTACATGATCTTAATGAACTTTTAAAGGTATAGCTGTTTATACATGGATTTAAAGAAAATGGATTGATCCAACCCAAAACATAGAATTGTATAATTTTACCTGAGGGTGTCCTAAATGATGAACTAGAAGCTGGCAAGTCATCTTTCCTGGATAGCCAGTGGTTGCAAACAAGTTTTCATTCACTCTGGACCACCTATGAATAAATCCAAGGTGCTTTTAAATACATGTGTTACAGCATCATGAGCATGCGCAAATCTGATTTTTTTGTCTGCAGTTAAATATTGCGTAAAGCCATCCTAAATTCTGCTGAAACCTGTGAAATACATGCACAAAGATATTTGTATTTAAGACACGCCCCATTCAGTCCTATCTACATTAATTCAAAATGAATTAATGAATGTTATACGTTAAGGACCCTATCCTGCCATGTCCCAATCACTCTCAACTCCCACTGAGATTAGAATCTTGCAGGATGGAGCTATCTAAAAGCTAACCGTCTATTGATGGAAAGAAGACATGAACACTGGAAGGAATTGGGAGCCCAATCCCACATACAGGCCGACCCCTGCACTTGTGTAGAGCCCCACGGATCAGCAACATACAAATTGTTACGTTCTTTCACTTTGTAACATTGCTGTACTACAAGATGCAGCACACTGTAGGCATTACTGAAAACAATAAATAACCCTGCTAAAATGAGGTTTTTAAAATTAAACAGGCTACTAAGAATTTTTCTTCAAATCAATTTACTATAAACCTCCTCCCCCAAACTATACCTGAATAATCTGGCTCGATCCACATGGACAGGTCTCTTATCTTGTGGATAACTATAAAAAGACATTTTGATTAAACATCCATTCCACAAACTATAGGAAATGATACACTTCACTTCATATCACAAGGACAGAAAGTACAGATAATTTAAAAGAGTAGCAGGTTCAAGTTGTGGGGTGGGAAAACATCTACTGACAGATAAAAATTCTTTTGACAACAAGCCATCTCTCATATTGTTTTCCACGTGTGAGTTTTGACAGGTTAAAGTAGTATAGCTGGATGAGAGGGAGGGGGAAAAAGATGAAAGCTGCAACAGCTCTTAAAAATGAGTTTTTAGTTTTTAACAATTTTCTTCAGGCCTTACCGAATTTGTCTTGTGGATGTCTTGTCACAGAAACAAAAAGATTTTCCTAGTTCTGTATTCAAGACATATTTGTGCCTATACCCTTGAACAGTGCTACTCAAAGTGGTGGTCCGTGGACCGGAGCCATCGGCTGCTGGTCTGCGTGCATGTTGGGAAAAAAAATTGCCGGTCCCCCACATCAGAGAGCTTGAGAAGCACTGCCTTAGAAGAGGCCTCAATATGATTAATATACAAAAAAACATGCTGTGAAGTAGTTTGGGTTGCTACATGTACATCATGCTGGATATAAAACTAGAGAAGCAAGGAAGTGAAAAGTTCAGCCACCTAAGAATACACCTCCCCTGTCCCTCCACACACAAGCACACCCCATTACCACAATTACCATGAGCAACAGACGATGCACTCCAACCTTAATTCTGCCCCACTGTCACCATTTCTGCACGCTCCCCTTTAATCAGATTATTTCCCTCCCCCACCATACATAGAGATGGTTTCATAGAGTAGTTGGTCTTGTTGGTCGAGGGCAGTTTGATAAAACGGGGAGTGCAAAGCTGTAATTATGCCCTGTAGTGACACTATGTGGTGAAGAAAATCTAATGTGTCTTTAAAAAAAAAAAAATCAATTGAATCTAAGGAGACCATACAAACTAAAATGGGAGCTCTTAACCACTTTCAAGTTCTTTGTTTAAAAGCTGAGCCTCTGGGGAGACTGAGAATCTGAAGAAAATAAGACTGTAACATGGTACCCAGGAGAATGGGCGGGAGGTCGAGAACCCAAGGCCTACCAACTTGTGTGAAGCAAATGTTATATTTATGCAAGACAATATGTGCTTAGGCATTTGTTGATTTAACCCTTTTCTCTCTGCTTGTCATATTCTATAGATTAATAAATAATATTTTGTTTGAAGGAGCTGTTCTCTGTCACTCTGTTTACAAGCTGGTTACAGCTCCTGGAGAGAAGTTGATAGCAGGGGCCAAAGCCAGTTGATTCTGGTGAGATAATGTAATGGATGAACAAGACCAGTGATCCAATCTAAAAGTGGGGCAAGTTGTGGCATTTTACTCTAAAAGTGTAGGTGTAGGCCTATCACTTGAAAGAGGTGCCGCTGGAAAGGTCAAAGGCACAGCACACTCCTGAACCATAACAATTTGGGCCCAGATTCTGCAAAGACGAATTCATATGTTTAACTTCGTGATCTGTAAGTAGTCCCGTTTAACTGATCAGGGCCTTACTTGCACAAGTAGTCTCACTGAAGTCAATGAATATGCTTACCGAAGTAAACGCTCACCATCCTGAATGAGGATGGCATGATTTGGCCCGTAAAGTTCAATTTTCAAATAAAAGTTCAAAAGGAATTGTCATCTTCTAAATCTTAAACATACGTTTACCATTTATTCTCTATTTTCAGAATTTTAATTGTGTAAAAGAACTTTGCTTTTGGTACAATCAGAGGTTGCTACAGTCCTAACACTTATAGTAAAATATATGTTTAAAAAATAGTGTAACATGTGAATGGACTGGATGGCAGGGGAGGGGAGGCTTATATCATTCTTGAGATCAGACAGGCTCAGTTAGGTCACACCCTACTCAGCTGAAAGGATGGGTAGGCCAGATGCTGAGTGGGAAGAGGAAGGAAAGAAAGGGAAAACATATCAGGGAAGAGGGAGGGAAAAGAAGCGGGGAGGGGAGGAGGGTGGGGAAGAGAAGAGCCTGAGGAAACTCTCAATCCTTTCTAAACCTCTACTTTCTCCCTCAACTCATCAAAAGGCACTAGACTAAATTCAATTCCACCAACATTTCAACTGTAACAGCAATTTAGCTGAAGTAACAAATAATGTATTATACAATATTTAAAAAGAAATCATGATAAGAATTTGTTTGCAAATGATAATGGTAAAGTCATCAATTCCCTGGAGAAGAGAGTGGGAGCGGTTTACTATAGAAACGCTAGATACTAAAGCCCCAGTTCATTTCCATTTAGCTAAGCACGTGCTTAAAAGCTTCACCAAACTGGGGCCTTAAGCACTGGCTATATCTATAATGAAGTTCTACTTAGCTAAGTAAAACATTATCAAAAATATCATCCCTAATCATGCAAATGAAAGAGATGGTGTGGGAAGTCTTCCCCAGTTTGACAACAATACCTGGAGCGAGTAATATCCCAGATTAACCAATCGTTTCCAGCAACTGCTCCAATTTTAAGGGTGTTTCTTAAACACCAATGTGCAGACATCAATGGCATTTGTTCACACTGGAGAGACAGAATGGCCTGCTGGGTAATGAGATCGTAGAATCGTACTGTTCCATTCTTCTCTGCTACCATCAACTGCAAAAGAAAGCAACAGATGGATTTTACTCAAACTTTTGTAAACTGTATTCTTTGTAATTGGCCATAATTTAAATCTTTATTACTGCACAGCAAACCAAGTGTTCCTGCAACAAAGCATTAACAGGAATGGAAGGTGTGACACCTAGGTTTTTTGGGGTGAAAAGTGGTCATGTATGTTAACACTCTGGCAACAATTAAAACAAAACGACAACCCAGCCGCTGGTATTTAATTTTCTATGAGATGGGTAGGTTTTGGAGAAAATGTAAATGTCCGTTAATGTAACTAACGGACATCTGCCAGTTGACATGCTACACATGATAGGCTTTTCCATGTATGCACAACAATGGTTTAATCATGTGGAATGGTAGCCGAAGCATGAAGGGGCATACAAATGTTTAGCATATCTGGCATGTAAATACCTTGCAATGCCAGCTACAAAAATGCCATGCAAACACCTGTTCTGACTTTCAGATGACATTATAAATAAGAAGAGGGCAGCATTATCTCCCGTAAAGTAACAAACTTGTTTGTCTTTCTGATTGGCTGAACAAGAAGTAGGACTGAATGGACTTGTAGGCTCTAAAGTTTTACATTGTTTTGTTTTTGAATGCAGTTATGTAACCAAAAAAAAAAAATCTATATATGTAAGTTGCACTTCATGATAAAGAGATTGCACTACAGAACTTGTATGAGGTGAACTGAAAAATACTATTTCCTTTGTGTATCATTTTTACAGTGAAAATATTTATAATAAAAAAATCATATAAAGTGAGCACTGTACACTTTGTATTCTGTGTTGTAATTAAAATCAATATATTTGAAAATGTAGAAAAACATCCAAAAATATTGAATAAATTTCAATTGGTATTCTATTATTTAACAATGCAATGGAACACAATTTTTTAATCGCAATTAATTTTTTTGAGTTAATCGCATGAGTTACCTGCGATTAATCAACTGCCCTATAAATAACACCGATACAGTGATTTGAATTATACGGTGTGATCTGCTTCATAATGATCAGGGAATACCAAAGTCATTCTATGTGGGAACTGAGGCTGGACATAAGAGAAATGTTGTTATCAGAGCTCAGAAGCGGACGTTACTTACCTTGTATAGTAACTGGAGTTCTTCAAGATGTACACCTCTGTGGGTGTTCCACGCATGCGTCTTTGATTGAAGATTTTCAACAGTAGTGCTCGTTTGGTTCACACATGTGCTCTAGCAACTCTTGTGGCCCATACAAAGGGATTACAGGGCTGTGGTGGATGACCTGCACACAGTTCCTTCTCTACTGCAAAAGCCCCATAAAGATGAGACTCCGAAGCAAAGGGGAAGGAAGGGCGGGTAGTGGAGCATCCATAGGGGCGACACATCTCAAAGAATTCCATTTAGTGCACGAGGGTAGGTAATCTCTCCTTCTTTGAGTAGTGCCCCTATGGGTGCTCCACTTCAGGTGACTCTCGAGCAGTACCCCCCAAAGGAGGTGGGAACTTCAGAATCTGGCCAAGAACTGATTGCAGAACTGAAGGCAGCATCTGGTCTACAGGTATGCACTAAGGCATAGTGTGTCAAGACGGTGTGAACGAAGACTCACATAGCAGCTTTCCACTACAGGAACATCTTTTAATAGGGGAACAGATGTAGACTGAGATCTGATAGAGTTAGCGCTGACCTTAGATGGACACGGCACATTAGAAGCTCCATAACAGGATAGGATGCAGCTAGAAACCCACCAGAAAATTTCGGGGTGAACACTGTCATTCTGCTAGCTCTGTGACAGACACAGTTAGTCTCAGAGAGACTCTAAAAGATTTAGTACCATCCACTATACTAGCACTCTCCTAATGTCAAGAGCATGAAGGGCAGCTCATTCTGATGGGGTTTAAGGTGGAAAACTAGCTGATGAACAGTCTAATTGATATGGAAGTCAGAAACGACTTTGGTAGGATCATTGATGTGGTCTGAGGTATACCTTTACCTCAAAGACAGTATAAGGCAGGTCAGCCATCAAAGCCCCTAATTCACACACTCTTTGAGCAGAGGTAACTGCCACTAGAAAGATAGTTTCCATGGAAAGTTTTAAAAGCAAACAAGTAGCTAGTTGCTCAAACGGAAGTTTCATAAGAGAATTAAGAACTAAGTTCAAATCCCAAGTTGGCATTCTTTCTCTGACATTTGGGAATGATAAATCTGGAAGTTGCAGCATGAGCAAATACTCAGAAACCTTCCAATGGAGAATGGAATGATATGACAGCCACTTCCGTGGATTTTGTGCTCCATTAAAGAGAGACCTCAGATAGGAGATCTGAACCTCTCCCCAAATGTGGAAGAGAATGTGGAAGGTGTGCTGAGAAATCAAAATTAATTAAAATCCCAGGCTATTTATCTAGGCTAACACAAAAGGGACAACAACTACAGAAAGTATCAGTAGATTATCCCCCTTTCTTAGAGGCTTTATGTGAGTAGCTCGCAGGCATCTCCCTGGGCTCACTTCCCTTCAAAGTAGAGGATTGCCGTAAGGGCTCCTGCTGGGACTCCAGAGGTTGAAGGGCTGACTCCATGAGTAGGAATTTGAGCCTCAGTTCTCTGTCTTTCCTGAATCTGGGCTTCAGTTGTTGACACAAGCCACATTTCTGTGGAATGTGTTTCTCTCCCAGGCAGCGAACGCACTGCAAGTGTCCGTCAGACACTGGGATAGATTCCTTAGAACTGAGGCAATTTTTGAAGCCTGGGGAGCCAGGCATACTCTTGTCCAGCGAGGACCTCCCAACAGTGGTTAGCAGAAGACAAAGTCCTCTTCTTTTCTTCTTCTTCTTTTTTTTAAAGGCAATGGCCAAAATAAAATGTAAATGAAGCAAATAAAGAAAAAGAGGCTTTAAAAGAAGCTACAATTAGCAATTCTAAGCGAGTTAACAATCCAGGAATGGACAGCTATAGTGCCATCTCTAGTCAGCAGCTGCTGAGAAGGAACTGAGGGGGGATCAGGTGTGCACGCTAGCTAGCCTCGTGGTAGGCATGGAGGAGTGCATGCGCGGGCTGAACTGATACCAGAGGTGCTGGAACAGAGAGGGCTGGGGGCCACAGCCCCATCACTTTTTATCAGTTGTAAGGGCAAGCAAGGGGTGGGGGGGGTGGAGAAGAACGAGCATGGGACGGAGCCTCAGGGAAAAGGGGCAGCGCAAGGGCAGGGCCTTGGAGAGAAGGGGCAGCATGAGGGCAGGGCCTCAGGAAGAAGGGGTGGCATAAGGGGGCAGGGCCACAGTTTGGGTGCTGGTGGCCCCCCACTTTCAGGAAGCTTCCACTGGTCCAGACGGAGACTGCTACCAAAGTTCTCTGATCAGCATCGCAGGGACACAGACACTCTTACAGTGGAGCACCCACAGGGACACTACTTGAAGAAGAACCAGTCAAATTATAGACTCTGCTGATAATGAAGAATAATACAGAATGTGCTTCTACAGCAAACTCATCATACTATAGCTTCAAAATTCTATAGTTTAGAAAAGCGACACACATTTACATACTGATTTAAGAAAAATAAGCTGCGAAGTACAACCTTAAAAGCCTCCTCAGGATGCCAGCACACACTCATTCCAGGGGAACGTAGAACAAAATATGCCTTTTGATTTCCTTCCAAGTCCCAAACCCTAATAAAAAAGGAAAAAAAAAAAAAGTATTTACTGCTGTTTGTAAAAACATTAATTTCCAGCCTTAGCCTGCTGACAGAGAGGTAGCCAGAAGCAGATGAGATCTGGTATCTGTACTCCATCTTTTGAGCACAAAAGTATCTAACAGAAGGCCTGATACTGAGAGGTGTCAAACACCTACAAATCTTACTCAAGTTGAAGGGAGTTGTGAGTGCGGAGTACTTCAATGGGTCAAACCCAAATGTCTGAATGTAATTTTTAGGATACACTAAGGTAGTACATTATTAATTTCTCTTCCTATATTCAAGCATTCTCCCGCCATAATTAACTAGGGGATGGAAACAAAGAAGTGTTCTCTCATCATCAGTGGCCCACTTGACCCTCACCCACCCCGAACCATAATTTGGGAGCCACTCTGTGAAATAAACCTATAATGCTATACAGTAGAACCTCAGAGTTACGAACTGACCAGTCAACCACACACCCCATTTGGAACCGAAATTACGCAGTCAGGCAGCAGCAGATACCCCCTCCCCACAAAAGCAAATACAGTACATTACTCTGTTAAACATAAACTACTAAAAAATAAAGGGAAAGCAGCATTTTCCTTCTGCATAGTAAAGTTTCAATGCTGTATTAAGTCAATGTTCAGTTGTAAACTTTTGAAAGAACAACCACAATGTTTTGTTCAGAGTTATGAACATTTCAGAGTTACGAACAACCTCCATTCCCGAGGTGTTCGTAACTCTGAAGTTCTACTGTATACGAAACATGGATGATGCTTTCACAATACAGGGTGATAGCTAAAGCTCCTGCCCTCTTTTTCTTCAAAATAAATAGTTCAATTATATGGGCGTGACATCACATTGTAAACTATACTCATTAAAACGGTAAGTTCGTACTGTGTGGATATGTATATTCTTTACATATGCATAAAGCTATAGAAATATGGCAGTTCATAAGGTTTTAAATAAAATGCTCTATATAGACTTTAGAGTTGAGTGGTTACACACTTTTATTGTTTATTCTAGGGGAACTTTCACTGACTTCCAGGGTGCTTAATATTTTAAATGTAAGAGATTTCAACACACTCTCAAATAATACATCACAAATCTAGACAAAATAGATACGAAGTAAAGTAAACACATTTAGTGAACAATGTTAGCTTCCTATGCCAAACCACAGCAGACCAAATATTTGTTTTCCCTGTAGAAATCATAGAGTTTCCAATCCTGAGGGATCGGTGTCTTTATTTAAAAAACTAACAAGTGTTTTAAAAAATGGAATATCTGCTTGATTAGGTAATTTAGAAATGTACAGTACTTTCTTCCACTGCCAGAAATTGTGCCTTGTAGATATTCCAAGTCAAATCAACACTTTTCATGTGTATTTACTGTGTGGGAGAGAATTACCAATATAACTGAGGATGGTGAATCATTTTGGCTAAGGGAGCATGCCATCTTGTCTTCTTCCCAGCTGTGAATGAGGTTATTAGGTGTGGAGACAAATTTATGCTCTCTCCTCTACTCTGTAAACAGCAAAGTGCTGTGCTTGTATCTGGTTTATTCTGTGTTGAAATGGTAGGATTAGGCACGTTATCTTCCATGAGTCCTATGGGAGAACAATATGGCCATCTCTTCTGCCCATTTCTTTTCTGCATAACAATAGAGACTATCTCACTTAGCGCTGGTCTACACTGGGGTGTGTGTGTGGGGGATCCACTTGAATCTTAGCACATATTCTAAGGGACCATTCAAGGTAGAGAGTAGGTCAGATATAGAATGATTGCTTGTGAAAAGTGTTCACCTACAGGTGATAGGGTGTTTTTGTCTTTTATCATTTTCCTGGTTTCTATGAGTCCAGATATTCCTTCAGTAAGAGTGCTGTGGCCAGATCTTGCATTTAGCTGTGATGCTTAGAGTATCTTTCCCAGAGCTGATGATGAGCTCTATTTGGCTTGAAAGCTTGCCTCTCTCACCAACAGAAGTTGGTCCAATAAAAGATATTACCCTCACCCACCTTGTCACTCTAATATCCTGGGACTGACCTGGCTACAACTGCACTGCATACCTTTTTAATCTTTAAAATAACTTAATCATTACTCTGTGAAGAAAATCTTTTGCAAGGATGTAATTCTTAAAATACAAGCCTCTGATGGTGTGGCTGATGTGATTAGGTCCTAGATATGTGGACAGAGTTGGCAACGGGCTATGTTGCAAGGATAGGTTCCACACAACAAAAACACTAACCCAGGAACCTATCCTTGCAACAAAGCCCATTGCCAAGTCTGTCCACATATCTATTCAAGGGACAGCATTATAGGACCTAATCACATCAGCCACACTATCAGAGGCTTGTTCACCTGCACATCTACCAATGTGATCTACCAATCTACCATCATGTGCCAGCAATGTCCCTCTGCCATGTACACTGGCCAAACCGGACAGTCTTTATGCAAAAGAATAAATGGACACAAATCAGACGTCAAGAATTATAACATTCAAAAACCAGGTGGAGAACACTTCAACCTCCCTGGTCACTCAATTACAGACCTAAAAGTGGCAATTCTTCAACAAAAAAACTTCAAAAACAGACTCCAATGAGAACTGGAATTAATTTGCAAACTGGACACCATTTAATTCGGCTTGAATAAAGACTGGGAGGGTCATTAAACAAAGTAAAAACTATTTCCCCAGGCTAATTTTTCCCCCTACTTTTACTCACACCTTCTTGTCAACGGTTTGAAATGGGCCATCCTGATTATCACTACAAAAGTTTTATTTTCTCCTGCTGCTAATAGCCCACCTTAAATTGATTAGTCTCATTAGAGTTGGTAAGGCAACACCCATTTTTTCATGTTCTCTCTGTGTGTGTGTGTGTATATATCTATTGTGACAAAGTTCCTGCTTTACCTTGGTGGGTCTTGCGCTTATTGGTGGATTTGCTTGCCTTGGAGCTTCATGGCAGCCCTCAGCGTGGCCGTTTTTCTGAACCCACAGTCCAGGTCAACTTCTCCTGTGTCTGACCAGGAGTTGGGAGGATTTGGGGGGAACCCGGGCCAGCCCTCTACTCCGGGTTCCAGCTCAGGGCCCTGTGGAATGCAGCTGTCTAAAGTGCCTCCTGGAACAGCTGTGTGACAGCCACAACTCCCTGGGCTACTTCCCCATGGCCTCCTCCCAACACCTTCTTTATCCTCACCATAGGACCTTCCTCCTGGTGTCTGATAATGCTTGTACACCTCAGTCCTCCAACAGTCCGTGTTCTCACTCTCACCTCCTAGTGCCTCTTGCTCTCAGCTCCTCACACGCACACCACAAACTGAAGTGAGCTCCTTTTTTTTTAAAAACCCAGGTGCCCTGATTAGCCTTCCTTAATTGATTCTAGAAGCTTCTTGATTAGAACACCTGCAGCCAATCAGCCTGTCTTAATTGTCTCCAGAAGGTTCCTGATTGTTCTGGAACCTTCCCTGTTACCTTACCCAAGGAAAAGGGACATACTTAGCCTGGGGCTAATATATCTGCCTTCTATTACTCTCCTGTAGCCATCTGGCTCGACCCTGTCACACTGTCTATCTATCTATCTATATCTCCCTACTGTATTTTCCACTGCATGCATCCAATGAAGTGGGTTTTAGCCCACGAAAGCTTATGCCCAAATAAATTTTAGTCTCTAAGGTGCCACAAGTACTCTTCGTTCTTTTTGCTGATACAGACTAACACGGCTACCACTCTTAGATATTAACGTACTTCCTTCCTAATGTGAACTAAAAAAATCCCTCAAAACTTTTAAATAAAGTGTTTTTGAAAGATGTTCATACTGAGAAATTGAACTTTGTTTCTGCCAGTGAGTGACCTTAGAAAAAAGTCCATGAGGTAGTTTTCAAACAGATTAAATGTGGTGATTTCATTTTTAAGGAATTTACAGTCTAGAATAAAAGTTCTCACTACCACTTCATGATCCTCAGAATAAATCATAACAATGTCACACAGGAAACTCTTCACATTTCATTAAAACCCCCCCAGTTACTTAGTATTACATTAATAGCACAAAATTAACCTGAAATGTTTCTTTCTGAATAACTTCATAATTAAAGCTTATTCAACTAAGTTCCAAAGATTTGTTTCGGAAACTGCTTTTACTTTTCCAGGATTATCAGATACTGTACATAGGAGACAGGTTTAAACTTGCATAATGACCACAAATAGCAGTGCAATAGAAGCTAAACAGAATCACATCTGGGGGACATATTAGGATGCATACAACAACAACAAAAAATGGGCAGAGTAGAAGACTATGGAATCCAAAAATCAGGAAATATTTTCATTATGTCACAATCTTTAATCTTATTCCAATTCCTTCTCCATTGTAATCCATTACAATGCATAACAGCTATCTTGGTGAATGAGCTCAACAAGCCTTGGATTTGAAAAGTCTCAGTCCTTAAAGAAGAAATGTTTTGGTAGCATTATAAAAAAGAGGTATCAATGCATTCCAGATACTGGAGGTGGTGTTCTGCCAGAATAAATAGGGTAAGGATAAAATAATACAGAGTACAATAAAAATCTGCTCATTTTTTAATTCTGGCCCCAAAAAAAAGGAATAATTTTGAACATGTGCTATAAAGACTAAATAAGAGTGGTGACAAAGATATTCAACATTGCAGGAGGCAGGAACAAATGAGGACAGGCAGAAATTTTGCGTACACTATGGCCAAGAGTCTGCAATGTTTATTGAATTAACAAAATGACACCCAGGAACAACATGTCCTGGCAATGGTTTTAACAAAAGTGAAGGACCAGGGAAAGAAACAGCAGATTGGAGCCATCACTGGCTTTCTTTCATTTTGGTTTTTATAATACCGAGCAAACTAACTGTTCAAAGACCACACAGATGTACCAAGATTTGTGGTGTTGGGCAAGCTACTGCATTGGGAAACCATTGAACATTGCACTACATTTTGGCATTCCAGCAAATCCAATCTCTAACAATAGAACACACCTTCCTGATGTCAATCCTTCTCCCACATATCTCCATTCAAGAAGCTAATCTAACCCTTGCTGCCAGGATGCACTAGCAAAATTTGTGGTCACATGAAACAAAAAGAAAAAAAGATTGAACCTGATTATGACCAACATAAAATCCTAGAGTCCATTTCAATGAAACAGCCTGCATCTTGGCATGAATAGTCCAAAATGAATGGAAGTGAGAAATTATCTGAGATATAGCAACAAAGCAACACCATATACATACAAAAACAGGGGGAACGAGCCTGCTACATATATATCTTTTGCCATGATATAAAAAATAAGGGTGGGTAGGTGGGTGCTGCTGTGTGTGCTGGAGTAGGAAGGTTGTGTCTCTGACCCCAGCCTTGGATGATGACAGCCAATCCTAACACATGACAGCATCACTGACCAACTGCAACCCTTCTAAGAAGGGAATCCTTTCCCAGCAAATTGGTGCTAAGCAGTGAATTCAGAACCCTTTGACATACTTGAATTTCAGCTTGGTACTCAACCTGAGGCCCAAATCAGCATGCAGCTGCGGCACATGTGACAACCTCAGGGTTACATAGGTAGTATTGGATGCGGCCCACATAACATATCATGAACCACATATGCAGCCCACAATGGTAAATAGGTTGAGAAGCACTGATAGAGCGTGAAAACAAACTCTGGTCAAGCAGTGAGATAACATCCAAAATCAAATTCTGCAGTTTTATTTTCTATTAGAACAACAGTATGGGGCTCTCAGCTGGAAGTGTATCAATGCCCAAGCTTGAGTATTCTTCGAAGAGATATTAAAAAATTTAAAAAAATGTTGTGCATAATTACTTTGCTTTTACTTGTTCTAAAATATTCCACATTAATTTACATGGTTTACCACTGAAATGATTTTTAAAGTTTGGTTAATGTAATAATTATGATTAACATTTGTTTCCGGTATGACACCTGCCTCTATTGGCCCTCCATTAATTGTTGTAACTTTGCCATTACATTTTCAATTTTTTTAAAAAATTATTTTCTCTCCTCTTCTGTGAAAAAAAGACTCACCTAAAGTACATGGGAAATTGCTTGACATATTATACAGGGAAAACTGTGCTGCCAAATGCACAAAGTAAAACTGAAAAATCCAGAAAAATAGCTCCCTGCAAACTCCAAGATCTCCTATTTACCTACATTATAGGTTACAAAAGAACGTACACAAGTGAGATTTTAAAAATCAACAGCATCCCTTTAAGCTGATATACAAACTATTGTCAGGGATCATTTCATCCACCACAGAAATGTAGCTACCTCTGGAATGAAATGAATCAAGTGTAACATACAGTTGTTTAGGAGAGGAAGTTAAAAAAAATAAATCAGTTGACTCTGCACGTAGGCAGATTAGGATCTTTAATGGCCATGGTCGATCAGCTTTGACAGTTTCACTGAAAGATGGCACCTCCAGCAGAATATTGCCTCCTAATGCTGTATTAGAACAGAAATTTTCAACATTTTTAATAGTGTGGACCATATTTTAAACACAGAAATGGACTTCTCCTTTTATTCATGACTCCACACACCATTACTGGAACTGCTTTCATGAAAAAAATCTATGTATTAATTCTCATTTCAATTTTGTATTTGGAAATAAGGGGGTGCCTACATCATGGACTCTTAGCAAGTGCTACAGTTTGGGAATTGTTGAACTGCAGGACTTATTCAACCCGGACTCACAAGGAACATACCACCTAATGAATTACCAAAGCAGCATCTAGATTTTTACTGAAGGTCTTCATCCAAGAACTGATCAGGCCCATCCCATATTTCTGACAGCATTATAGCACAAAGTTTTAGTGTCTAAAATATTTCTATATCTCCACAGAATTAATATTTCTCATATTGTAATAATATTACTTTGTGCCTTTAAAACTGCATTAAATCCACTGTTGTAGAGATGAAAATAGGAAAAACCTAGAGAAACTTCTATGAAGTCCAGAAAGCTGTATATTGAGAATTACTGTATTAACTACAGGTAAGTTGGAATAAGAGCACTGTTCGTATCTATAGCAAACCTAACAGTAAGAAATCTAGCAATATCCCCAAACACTGGAAACTTTATCCTTTTGTATTCTTGTACTAATTGCTCTAGTATTGCATAGCGTAACCATTTCAACAGATGCCCTATTCCTAGAGCAACTAATAGACGTGTTCACATTTTTGTTGAAGAGGCAAATTATACAACAAATTAAGTAAGATTTCTATGAATTTTTACAAGGCCTTTGTAAGACCTGCAGATTGCAATCTCTTTTGATTTTTGGACTATAGCTCTATATTCAATTTTTAAATGAAAATGTTATTGTCATTCTCCACGTTTCTATCCCTTGAATAGAAAAAATATGAGAACTCTCAGGTGGCCAAATACATCCCATTTCTTCCCACGGCTGTTAGCCAGACTTTACCGTCTACAGTGGGGAAAGTGGCTGCCTTATTTTTCACAGCTATTGAGTTCAAATTTCGGTGGTGTTATACTTTCATTAAAAAAATCTTATCTTTTATTCTTTTGGTATCAAGTGGATTACTACAATTTAAACAATTCTTTCTTTCATCCTTAAATATGCTGTATTTAATGGAAATATTTAAACAACTCTTTGCCGGAGAAACACTTCGTACTAGTCTATTGTAATGAAGAAACCAAGGACATGGATTGAAAAGGGAATGCTCCTTAGTAGCTCTTAAAAGTATCATTTTTAAAAGACTTTTGTCGTATGTTTTGAAAAAAATACAGGACCTTTGTACTGACCAAGGTAATACCTCTGAATTTTCAGTGGGAATTAATTTAACATCGTGTAGCCCACTGTATGAAAATGTCTTCCTTTCTCACAGAGGTAAGGTGCTCATAGCCTTTGAACTGTATTTATTAAATCTTCTCTTCAGTTTTTTTTCCCTAAAAGACAGACCAAAATCTCATCCAAAATGATAAATTAGAAAGTCCAGCTATTGTGCATAAAAGTGAGAGACATTTAAAAAATAATTCCTTTAGAAAAGGATTGCCTAGAAGTTTAAATGGTCATGTTTAACAAAAAACAATTAGGAATAACGTGGCTCCCCCCTCTTAAGTTTACAACTCCCATTCTAGGTTTATAAACCCTACAAGTGTCTTACTTTGTCATTTAAAAGAGTAATGCTTTTCCAATATGGCTGATTTTAACAATATAAGTTCCACTGAACATTTGGTAAAGTGGGGTGGTGGGGGTGGTGTGTGCGTGCGTGCATCTGTCTTTGATTTTGTCTGAACTTTTTACCATGGGTTCTAACGGCCAAATCCTCAGCTGGTGTAAATCAATGTAGTTTAGTTTAAGTTACTGGAGCAATGATGATCTGTTCCAGAGTATGCACATCACATATCAGATCTAACTTTAATTTTATTTGTTTCTGGCTGTGCAGGTGGAACCTCACTCCCAGTCTTTTAAATGGAGAAATCAGGGGTAGGGATTATTTTGGATGTTATTTGGCTACTGATCTATTTAAGTGTGATAGTTATATCAGTAACTAAAAAACGCAATCATCTTAAAACGACACAAATCACCTCTGTTCTGACGTCTTCCCCATCTCTTTGGAATATTTTATCACTGAACCATTAGCGCAGAGGCATCAACCTGTGGTTTTGGGGTCACTTATGGCCCTTGACGCTCTAACCAGATTTGATTTTTAATTAAATATGTTTCCTGAGTCTTCCCCTGTGATTTTTAAATGTAAGTGTTTGAGTCAGCCCTGCCACTCAAGGGAGAAGGTAAAGGCACCACCTCCTCATAAACCTGCCACCTTCCTCTGCAGCTCACAAGGAATTCTGAGTAGCTACTGTCCCTTCCTTGCTGCAGCTGCTCAGCAGTCCCGATGTCTGCCTGCCACATTGCAGGGGACAGAGGAAGAGTATCTCTGGCTGTTACATCTGCAATGCTGTGCCAGACTCTGGTACAGTAGGATAGACGCTTGGCTCTCTACCTAAGCCTCTAGGAGGCGCTAGCAAGGGATAGCTTTTCTCCTCATTGGAGCCATCCAAGGCAGTCCAGGATTTCAATCGCACCGTGAAGAGAATACATACCTGCATGTGTGATCATCACTCACACTTGCAATATCCTGACCTTCTTTAGGGGCAAATACCAGATCATTAATGTAATCTGAGTGGCCATCAAAGATCTGTCAATGAGAACAAAAATATTTTCATACTGAAGTCATAAAAATAATAATTCTGATAAACAGCAATATTTGAGCATTCCAGAAGCTTCTACAATGTATTCGGGAATTGCTACAGGAAAAGCATACACATTTAAAATGAAGTTGGGGTTCTACATTTAGGAGTAGAAACTTATGCCATTATTAATTATTTGTATTACCATAGTGCCTACAAGCTCCAGTCACAGTCCAGAACCCCACTGTGCTAGGTGCTCTATAAACACAGAACAGAAAGATATTGTTTGCCCCCGAAGGGTTTCTAGTCTAATTATAAGACAAAATACAACACATCTACACGGACAGGGGAGTACAAGGAAAAGAGTAAGTATTAGTCAGCGTGGTAGACAGTGGTCTTACACACCAGCAGTCTAACAGTTCTAAGTTACTTTTTTATGGGCATCATTGCAAAAGAGAGTTTTAAGGAGGAGCATGAAGAAGGATAATGAAGTCACTTAGCAGATGTTTACAGGGAGCTCCTACCAAGTGTGTGGGGCAGCATGGGAGAAAGACCAAAGGTGCTTGTTTGAAAATTTAACAAGTGCCTGCTTTCAGTTCTTTGCTGATAATTAGATCAAACAAGGTTTTCCTCTAAGACAGTAACGTCAGACTATAGTCTGTGAAATCTTTCTGAAAGTGCCAAATGCAAATAAGGTTTACTATTAAAAAACAAAAATGGCTTAGTGGTTACAGTCAGACTAATCACATTCTTTAACTGCTTTTGCATGTTTTGTGTATCTCTACAAAGTCCCTTGTTGTGTAAAATGTGTGCTATGTTGAATCAAAGTCCTCCATACATTCACTGTAAATTTTGACACCCAGGTATCTGCAACAGGTAGTTTTCAGTCAAGTGACATTAGGAAACTGGGGTATCAAGTTAAAAAAAAAAAAAAAAATCAGCCTAACATGAGGCTGGTCTGAGTTCTGAGCATCTATAACATGTTTTAGGACTGTGTTGTGTATTACAGAAGCTCTCGCCTTTTAAAAAAAAATTTTCAGAGCAAACAGATAAGATTCCCTTGGATGGCATTGTCAGCAACTTGGACACAATATTCCGTATTATTCTTTGCTTACAGGAGTGGATCACGAGTGGCACAAGCGTAAAGACAATGATACCTGCAGCCTCTCCTCCTCTGAAAGTGCTGGCTCTAGGGACAAGAGTGTATACACATGCTACAGCACCGCTGGATGGTGCGTACAACTTCATGTGCACATGTGTTTACATTCCAAACACACAGTGTCATTTTGGTTCTTTGCTGATTGAATTATGGCTTTTTTCCATTGTCCGTTTAAACGCACAGAAGAAATCAATTATCATATATAAGGAAGATGAGCTGAAACCTGATTAAGGTACAATACAATAAAGCAAAAATGCATAATATATTTAAAAAAAAATATATAACTGACAGGTTAATACACCACAAATGAAAATGCTGATGAGAAAAAAATAAACGTGGATCTCAGCAGTGTTGATTTTCCTAGCAAATTTTTCTTGAATTTCAATTGAACATTTGTATACGCTAATCAGTACAGTCAATTACACAATAAGTGTAGGAACTAGAATGCTATTACACACCAAGATGTAAGCTAGAATTTTCAGAAGCCCAAACTGCTTAAGTCACTTTTGAAAAGGGACTTTGGAGCCTAAGTCACTTCGGCATTACAAAAAAATGACTGTAGATAAAATTTTCACAAGACAAGACAAGTTTCTAAAGCAGATATGAGTTCTCCACTGCTGCAAGCGGCAGTACTGCCTTCAGAGCTGGGTGGCCAGAGAGCAGCAGCTGCAGAAGTAACTATGGCAATACCACACCATGCCACACTTACTTCTGCGCTGCTGCTGGTGGTGATGCTGACTTCAGAGCTGAGTGCCAGGCCAGCAACCACTGCTCTCCAGCTCTGAAGGCAGAGTGGCTTCTCACACCCCCACAACCCCGGGAATACATTCCACACCCTCCAGTTTGAGAACCTCTGCCTTAAATAAATGGAATAAAAGACTAATGCATTTATAAACATTCTTTGAAATATGTGTTTGTTTTCATATGGCTTCACAAAAAAGCAATTGCTGGTTTAAGAATGTATTTCTCAGAATTGACTACAATTATGGTATAAGTGACTGCACTGATTTCAGTATTAATGCTTTTAATTATTACGATTATAGGAGGAAAATCTTAAAAGTTGCAATTAAAACAGAAATTAATAATGATTCCCAACCATTCTTAAATAAACATTTATGCTGTATCTCTAATTTATACTCACTCGCTAACTCTTTCCTTTATAGAACATTCCTAAAGAAAGCCTAGATATTAAAAACATTAGTATGAACTTTTGCCCCCAGCTTTCAGTATGTAATAGAATCTTTTCACTTCCCCACTTCAAGCTCACATGTTGACAATCTGTCCTTGCCTCATTTTAGTCCAAGCATAAATAATTACCTACTTGCTTTTCTAGAGTTCTGTTAAATTCAGTTATGCAGTCATTTTTCTTTTCTATTAAGAAGTACAAAACAGGAATAAATTGCAATTACCTGTTGCATGCAGACCTTTCCCTCTTTAACGTGTTGATTAAATGCTTCCAGATATTAGGACACATTCAATGTTGCAGATCATAATAGCAGATATTTCTTTTACAGTAAAATTACAGTTATCTTGTAATACAACATGCAGGTTAGGGGATAAAACAGACTAAATTCTGCTAGAGGCTAAAAAGATAGAAAAATAAATTCTAATAATGTGCATCTTACCTTATATTCATTCTTATCCTGGAGATCTGAAGTGAATAGCCTTAACTTCCTATCAGCAGCTGCAGTACAAAATCTAGAATAATGGGGGGGGGGGGGAAGCCTTTCAATCATTTCTCACTTGCAAAATTTCCATCCCAATTTAAGTTAAAGATTCACTTCATTTTTCAGAAGAAAATTCAGATTATGCTTTTGAAAATGGAAATTCTTCTAAATATTATAATTCCCTTTTGGAAATAACAGTCTTTACAGTATTCAGTGGAATGCAGTGTATTGTAGCTGCACGTCAGGTGGCAATGGATACTTTATACTGAAAGAAAACTATCCATTTTGCCCAACCAAATAAGTCACATATTGAATCAACTGTGAAATCTTTGAAATAATAAGTCAATTATAATTAGCATTTGCACCTATTGTTACCGGTGGTGATCAAATGACTAGGGAAGTTAAAACATTTATAATAGCAATTGAAAGAGATACTAATGTAAGTTCATAAAGCAGTTTCTAGCATGCTTTAGTAGTGGTTTAAAACACAAGAATGGTATTAACACTAAACATTTTATTTTTAACAAACATCAGATTTGGCATTTGTATACTATGTTTGAAACACCGCTTGAACATTAAAAGTACTTCTAATTGTTAAACAGGTACTACTATTTAAGTGTTGGCAGTTTGTTCAGACTTAGGGCATGGCTACACTTGCGAGTTAGAGCTCATTAAAGCAGCCCTGGGCACCCTAACTCACGATGCATCCACACTGGCAAGGCATGTAGAGCGCCCGGACTCCGCGGCTGGGGCACTCCTGCTAACCCACCTCGATGAAAGGCAGAACACTTGCTGCGCCCCAGCTGGAGCGCCGCGGCACCAGTGTGGATGCCCTGGTCTGTTAATACACTCTGATCAGCCTCCAGAAGTATGAAAGACTCCGAAAGAATTAGGAAGAGGCCACGTAGAAGCAAAGAGGACATGCTGCATGAAGTAATGCAGCAGTCCCTTAATGAAAGTCAAAAAGCACAGGAGTGGTGGGAGAGTTAAAGGAGGGTCTGCCAGCAGAATGCGGAATGCCAGCACCAAAGCACGGAGCAGCTGCTAAGCATTATGGAGCGCTAAGGGGACTCGATACAGGCGCCTGTAGCCATGCAGGAAGAGCACTAGCGCGCCCGCCCCTCCCCTGCAGCCCTTGTCCCAAAACTTTTTCCCTTGTGCCCTCGTATCACCTCCAACCCACTTTCCCCCACATCCGGGTTCTTATCACCACCAGCTGCCTCCAACACCTGTAGCTTCACCAACCAGCCCTACAAACTACAACCTGTACCCACTGCACTCAGCCCCCATCACCATGCATTTTAGCCAGCCTGAAGTGCAGCACTCATTGCACAACACTCCAGACAGGAAGGCAGAGTATGAGAACAGGACATACACAAATCTGTGATTGAACCGTTCCCCACCCCACCCCCTTGCCCTGTTTTCCAAGCAGTTGTGTTTCTTTTCAATAAATGAATTTTCTTTTAAATAAATGGATTTTTTGGCTTTGAAAACATTCTTTATTATTGCATTAAGTAAAAGATATCTTAGCCCAGGAAAGCAACAGGCACTGCAAGTCAGCATAGTAAACAGAGATTCCTACTAACATTGGAACCACTGCTCTTCACTCCTGTGCAGGGCACCAAACATTACTGGTGGCTTTCCGCCTTAAATTGCTCCCTCAAGGCATCCCTAATCCTTGCAGCCCCGTACTGGGCCCCTCTAATAGCCCTGCTCTCTGGCTGTTCAAATTCAGCCTCCAGGAGTTGAACCTCCGAGTTCTATGCATGAGTGAATCTTTCACCTTTCCCTTCACAAATGTTATCGAAGGTATAGCATGTGGATATAACCGCGGGGATGTTGTCATCGGCCAGGTCCAGCTTCCCATATAGACAGCGCCAGCGGCCCTTTAATTAGCCAAAAGCACACTCCACAGTCATTCTGCACTGACTCGGCCTGTTGTTGAACCACTTCTTGCTGCTCTCAATGCTCCCTGTGTAGGGTTTCATGAGTCACGGCATTAAAGGATAAGCGAGTTCTCCAAGGATCACAATGGGCATTTCGACTTCCCCTACGGTGATCTTCTGGTCTGGGAAGAAAATCCCAGCTTACAGCCTGTGTTCCGAAAGATGCGTGCGTCATGCACCTTTCTGGGCCAGCCTGCATTAATGTCCATGAAATGCCCACGGTGATTCACAAGCGCCTGGAGAACCACAGAGAAATACCCCTTCCAATTAATGTACTTAGAGGTTAGGTGGGCTGGTGCCAGAATTGGACTATGCGTCCCACCTATCGCCCCTCCGCTGTTAGGGAAGCCCATTTGTGCAAAGCCAGCCACAATGTCATGCACATTACTCAGAGTCACAGTTCTTCTGAGCAGGATGCAATTAATGGCCCTGCAAACTTGCATCAACACAGTTCCAATGGTCGACTTTCCCACTCCAAACTGGTTAGCGACCGATTGGTAGCTGTCTGGAGTAGCCAGATTCCAGATTGCAATAGCCATCTGCTTCTCCACCGGCAGGGCAGCTCTCAATCTTGAGTCCTTACGCCTTAGGATGGGGGCAAGCTCAGCACACAGTCCCATGAAAGTGGCTTTTCTCATCCAGAAGTTCTGCAGCCACTGCTCGTCATCCCAGACTTGCATGACGATGTGATCCCACCACTCGATGCTTGTTTCCTGAGCCCAAAAGCGGCGTTCCATGGTGAGCATGTCCGTGAACGCCATAAGCAATCTTGTGTCATATGCGTTACACGAGTTAACATCATCGTCGGACTCCTCACTGTCAATTTGTACCTTAAGGAGTAACTTGACTGCCAAACGTGACGTGCTGGCGAGACTCATCAGCATATTCCTCAGCACTTCAGGCTCCATTCCCGCAGACTGAAAGGGAAGACAGAGCGCGCAGTACAAAAAACGTTGAAAGATTGCATCAAATGTGGACGGAAGAACAGGGATAGCTGGGATGCGAAGCGATGCATCACGGGGTGTTGGGACAGGACCCAGAATGCCCTGCATCCCCCCGCCCCTTTCCCACAAGCCACAGCGCCAGAATGGAAAGAGGTGCTCTGTGGGATAGCTGCCCATAATGCACTGCTCCTGCAAATGTGGCCATGCCAGTGCACTTGCAACTGACAGTGTGAACACACTGCAGTGCTTTCCCTACTGCACTCTCGGAGGGCTGGTTTAACTCACAGCACTCTACATCTGCAAGTGTAGCCATGCCCTTAATAAAAGCATAAAACCAGGTTTAATACTCTTTTACTGTAGTCCTACAGTTCTGTAGTTTCACAAATAACATCTGAATCTTGCCTGACATTGGCTTGTACCAGAAAGAGAATTTCATCCAGTCCTAATGCAGACTTGATTATTGTAGAATAGGGCATTACAAAGAGTCCTAGCAGTGTTCTTTCTAGACAGATTACAGAGAAGGTTAATTACATTTTATTTACACCCACTTTCATATTAATTATTTTGACTAATTCAAAACCGAATGGTTCTTTGAAAAAAGTAAAACTTAACTAAAGCCAAAGGGTGAAATTCTGACCCCACTGCAGTCAATGGGAGTTTTGCTATCGACTCCAGTGGGGCTAGGATTTCACTCAAAGAGTCTAACTTTACTTTTGCATTAAGGAATAAAAGGTGGACAGACAAAAGAAAAGTTGCTCTTATACTTAAATGTTTTTAAAATACCTTATCTGGGGAGGTAAAGCATCCAGTCTGGTTTCTGGACTCCATGCTATGGCATCGACTCTGATCCCATGATGAAACGTTCTTAGTGTCTCATACTGTATTCCTTCCACTTCTGTATCCTCCTCCTAAATATATAAAACATTGTAATAAACTAAGAGAGAAAATGGTATGCTATTATTGATCCTCCAAACAAGCCCTTCAGTTCTAGATTAGTGTGAATTAAGTCTTGTGGTGACCAAAAACTACTATTTGATTGCTTTTCAATAATGTAAGCTCCTCATGGGAAGGACCATGTCTTTCGATATGCTTGTACAATGACAAATCACACTTTGAGTGATTTTACAACATAAACAACAATAATAATATTCAGTAACTTGTGATAAATAAGTGAGTGGCTGGCCTCACTCCAGTTTCTAGTGAACAAGTAAGCATATCACAAAGCCAACACCGCAATTCACAACTTTGTTAGCAGTTTCAGCAGAAAGATAAAAACTCTGAATGGGCAAAAAGATTGAGACTGTAACTTTCAGAGATAGTAACTTCACAGACTTCAGGCACATTATCTGAAGGATATGGAAAAGTTTGCACTGCATCTGATCTTTGAGTACATATAGGATATTATTTTCAAGTGTTGTCCATTTAGGACCTTTGACAAGAGTTAAGAAAGAAGTCAAAGCACCATAAAGTCAATAGTATGTAGTAGGTTTTCCAAGCTAACTCGTTTCTAAGTTAATTACTGAGTGTTGTTAAATGTGTGGAGAACTGCTATCACACAGCAGATAAAACAAAGGTAAATCCTGAACTGCGTAGTAAAGTGTATCTAAGGTAACCACAGAAACTGTTAGAAATGTACTGCTGTACTGTTTCAGCTACTAGCAGAAAAAGAAAAAAATCCTATGAATATATTGTTGTTATTGCTTATGCATTAGAAGGTCTAACAACATTTCCAGTGTTCTACCACACACAGCCAAGTGCAAAGATTTTAGAAATTTGAGTCAAGGATAAAAAGCTCTCCCATAGGTTTTCAAACACATAAACTAAAAAGAAACCTAACACTAAGATACCGTATGCCCCTTTATAAAACAATTTGTATTACTTGATTATTTATATACTTATGGGCTCACAGAACAGTATCTTAAAGTTTTATCCAGCTATTTGCCAACAGCAACTATGCAGAAATGTTCAGAGTGAGGATAGTGAAATAAAACTGTTTCTACTTGTAAAATTCTGTATGTCAATGCAGATAAAGCGGTATAAGAATTTTAAACATGTGAGTGCCATTCATTTGATATATTTTGTGGAGTTTTGCCACATTTGGTAGAAATACTTCAACATTTTTCCCTCTTATCTGAGACCCTTTTAAAAGTGATCACTATTTTATGACATAATTTTTATCACTGAGTCAGTTGTCATGAAAAAAAGACACCATAAGAACTATATACCACTTATCACAAAGTTAGGTCCTCATTTTAGGCCTTTCTTAACTATTTCTTAAAAAGCCAGATATATCTAACAAGAGAAAAATCATCAAAGCAAAATATTTGTACCACACAGGACACCAACTCATTCTTTCCTTCAAAATATTATTTTCTGAAATATTGCAGCATTTTAATATAACTTATTTAGAATCAAAAATAATTTAATTCATCTCCGACATTTTGGGAGCTAACCAGAAACTTAACATGGCCATAAAACATTAATAATAGGTACCCAAAGTAAAGATCAGGGCTCAGATTGCTGTTAAAGAAAAAGTTGAATAAAGCGTGATAAAACACAGCAGATACCCAATTACGCAAAGAATAGTGTGAACTTAGAATTGTTTAACTTTCCAGGTGGTAATTAATATCTTCGAAGAGATGCTGCAACAGAGATTACTTTCCAAGGAAAGAATAATTGCTTCAGTGTAAATCTTATTCACTGTGAACTATGACATTATGAAACTTTGTAATAGCAGAATGAAAACCTCACAGAGAACTCTGAATAATTTCAGTTACAATGTGTTTCTGTGTGAAGCAGAGCTATTTGGGGAAAAAATATTAGACCCATTATAAATAGAGTAAAAGTGTTTTTGTTCCAACGTACTATTTTATCAGTGCCTTTTAAATACCGGCACTTTATTAAATACCGGGAATTAAAAAAATCTTTGATAAAAACATATACTAACCTGAAATCTGCAAGTCCCAATAACTACATAATTATTGCCACCATATGCAATTAGGGAACCTACATCTCCACTATCAAATGGATTGAATTCCACCACATGCACATAATCCTCACAATCCACAGTGTAGGTAGCGTTTCGAGAAGAGTCTTGCTTCATCTTCAATGGTAAAAATCAAGTTAGCACAAAGGTAACTTCTTCTGTAGAACATGGAGCTATATATCAAAATAAATATATATATATATTTTAAAGAACTTGCTGCCTCAGCAGTATATCAAAATACATTAGTTTATCAGCAGATACAACAACAAAACAGATGAGGTTGTCTTTAGAATCAATATTTTAAAAGTTAGAATGCAGTTCTACTCTTGAAATTATTATCTAAGATGACAACTTCCAGACATGAATTCTTTTCTGACTTGTACATTGAGAAAATTGTTCATTCCCAACTGTAGGGCCACCTTTGTAACCCCACGGTCTTCAAATTCAAAGGCAATAGGGTTGCATAACTAGAACTGAAAGTAGAATGTGAAGACCAGATGTAAATGAGGGCACTTGGCCTGCAGAATCTTTATTATTGACAATGATGATAAACAGCTATAATTTCAGTTCCCAGGCTGCCTTTGAAGGGTTGGTAGTTTGAAGGTCCCAGTATTAATTTTTTAAACTTATAAACTGGGCAAACTTGATGTGAAAATCACTGGTACACACGAGGAACTCAGACTTACTTTCTTCTGGTGTTGCCAGTAATGACTGCAGTACCAATTTAAACATATAGCTCATTTTTTGTTTGTTTAATATTACTTTTAGGGCTATCAAGCAATTAAAAACATTAATTGTGATTAATCACACTGTTAAAAAATAATAGAATACAATTTATTTAAATATTTGTGGATGTTTTCTACATTTTCAAATATACTGATTTCAATTACAACACAGAATGCAAAGTATACAGTGCTCACTTAATATTTATTTTTGATTACAAGTATTTATACTGTAAAAAAACAAAAGAAATAGTATTTTTCAATTCACCTAATACAAGACAAAGAAGTTTGTTTACATTTGCAGAAGGTAATGTTACCCGCTTCATGTTTACAATGTCACCTGAAAGTGAGAACAGGTGTTCTCAAGGCACTGTTGTAGCTGGCATCACAAGATATTTATGTGCCAAATGAGCTAAATATTCACATGTCCCTTCATGCTTCAACCACCATTCCAGGAGACATGCATCCATGCTGATGATGGGTTCTGCTCGATAACAATACAAAGAAGTGCGGACTGATGCATGTTCATTTTCATTATCTGAGTCAGATGCCACCCGCAGAAGGTTGATTTTCTTTTTTGGTCATTTAGGTTCTGCAGTTTCTGCATTGGAGTGTTGCTCTTTTAAGACTTCTGAAAGCAAGCTCCACACCTCGTGCCTCTCAGATTTTGGAAGGCACTTCAGAGTCTTAAACCTCGGGTTGAGTGCTGTATCTATCTCTAGAAATCTCACATTGGTACCTTGTGTTTTGTCAAATCTGCAATGAAAGTGTTCTTTAAATGAACCACGTGCTGCTTCATCATCCGAGAGTGCTATAACAGGAAATATATGGTAGAATGCGGATGAAACAGAGCAGGGGACATACAATTGGTTCAGTCAGAAATTTAATTAACGCTTATTTTTTTAAATGAGCATCATCAGCATGGAAGCATGTCCTCTGGAATGGTGGCCGAAGCATGAAGGGGTATACCAATGTTTAGCATATCTGGCACGTAAATACCTGGCAATACTGGCTACAAAAGTGCCATGCAAATGTCTGTTCTCACTTTCTGGTGACACTGTAAATAAGAAGAGGGCAGCATTACCTCCTGCAAATGTAAACAAACTTGTTTGTCTTAGTGATTGGCTGAACAAGAAGTAGGACTGAGTGGACTTGGAGGCTCTGAAGTTTTACATTGTTTTGTTTTTGAGTGCAGTCATGTAACAAAAAAAAATCTACATTTGTAAGTTGCGCTTTTATGACAAAGAGATTGCACTATTGTACTTGTATGAGGTGAACTGAAAAATACTATTTCTTTTATCATTTTATAGTACAAATATTTGTAAGCAAAAATAACACATTTGATTTCAATTACAACCACAGAATACGATATATATGAAAAGGTAGAAAAAAACCCAAAATATTTAATAAATTTCAATTGGTATTCTATTAACAGTGCAATTAAAACTGTGATTAATTGTGATTAATTTTTTTCAAGTTAATCATGTAAGTTAACTGCGATTAATCGACAGCCCTAATTACTTTTGAAAATATATAGTCATTTTTTCTGGAGTCACTTTTCAGAATGGAATCAAGTTTTAACACTTTCTCCACCTCCACCCTTCAACAAGTCATCAATCAATAAAAATACTCCCTAAATATAAAGCTCTAAAACCAGATGAAACCAAAATCTCCACTGAATCTGCTGTGGAACTGGTGGTTGGAGCGAGCTCATGACAGTTTTCTTTATTCAGTCCACTGGCATTTGACAGTTAACAATGATGTGGAAGAATCCTCACATCTCCAACATATTCAGATCCCTAAGAAAAGCATGTGCATGGATGTTAGATATCTCAGAGAGCTTTTCACAGGAGTAGAGGACAAAATCTTCCCTGCCCCACTCTTGTTTAGCTCACTGTGCAGAGGAGGACTACTACCTTTTAGTAGTGCTGCAAGCATGTTTGGATTAAAGATACTACAGAAATGCAAAATAAATGTCAGAAAACAGAATAGTAAGGCCTGTTCTACACTATGAAGTGAGGTTGATGCAAGTCGCCTTGCATCAACGTATTTGTGCGTGTGTCTGGTGGATGTAAGCACCTTGTTATATTGATACAGACACTGAGTCAGTCGGCCTACTGAGCTCCCCTCTGTTATCGCCCTGGAAAAAGGCAAATGTCGAGGCCTATGCTTCTCACAGCTTAGATTCCTCTTCTTATACTGAAAAGCATGATTGATGACATCATACCTACATTTGATACTAAAAGAAACCATTTTCCCCATAAAGATTTGTAGAAGGCCTATCAAAGTGCTGAATGTAAGCAAAAACAATCATCTAGTAACTTACCAGCACCAACAAACTGATAAAGAAAGAAGATTGCAAGCAAAAAAGTCACCCATTGGGAGAAATAGCTATGAATATTTTTTGGCTCAGTTTCCTTGGTCACCTCTAGGTTAGTTTCCTCATCTATAAGGATAACAAATGTTGAGTGGGAACTCATCATCTCAGTGGGGCAAGAAATAGCAGCAGGAGGAACCTTAGCAGTGTTGCTAACTCTTGTGATTTTATGACAAATCTTGCCCTATTTGGTATTCTTCTAAAGGTCCCAGCTCCTGGAGTCAAACAAAAAAGCTTGGATTCTCATCTAAAGGAAGTTTCTCTGGTTGCCGAAAAAACCCTTGAAAACCACGAGCCAAACACATCCGAGAGACTCAAAACCCACAGGGCGAATTTAAAGACACCCCTCCTCCCAAAAAGAAAAGGAGGACTTGTGGCACCTTAGAGACTAACAAATTTATTTCAGCATAAGATTTCGTGAGCTACAGCTCACTTCATCGGATACATCCCAACTCTACTGACGATCTGAGGCCTGACTCACGCCTTGTGAACGGTGGGGGGTGGCAGCAGGGCATTACTTCGCTCTCTGAGAGCGCCCTGGGCACACGGGACAACGCAGCACCCGGGGAAGGGACGAAGCATGGAGGCGACACAGGGGCGAGGGAAGCACGGAGCGGAGATTGGGCCGCGGCCGGCGGGCGGGCGGGGAGGGGTGGGGAGAGGGGCGGCGGCAGAGCACAAGGCCAAGGGCTGCAGCCCAGAGCACCCCAGACAGGGCAGGTTCTACGGGGCCCCTTGTCCCGCGGCCCTGACGGGAGCTGAGGCCTGGACCCCAGCGGGTGATCGCTGGCTGCACCGAGCGGCGCACTCACGCGCGCGCGGCGGCGGCACCACCGCCGCCACCTACGTACATCTGCGCCTCCCTGCCGGCCTCTCTCCCGCGAAGAGTTTGTACGCGTTCGTGGGCACTTCCGGCCTCAGCGCCTTGTGTTTCCGGGTCAGAGGCTACTCGCTCTTTGATTGGGCAGCTGCGGGGGATTTAAATGTAAACCGCCGGCGGCGAGGCGCGTGCGAGTGGGTAACTAGGCAACCGACCGCTTCTCCCTTCGCTCGGGGCCGTTCGAACTGCCTCAACTGCGCAAGGTAGCTCTTCCCTCCCGCGGGGAGAGGGACCGGGGGTGGCGGATACAGTCTGGGAGCTGGGGGTCCGGGTCCCTGGGGCTGGAGTCTTCCCTGGCCTGGTCCTCGGCGCTGCCCCCTACCCTGGCCCGCCAGCAGCCATGCCCCCGCCGGACTCGGGCAAGGGGAGGCGGCTGTGGCCCCTGCGCTCGGGCGGGACCGGGCTGTGCTCGAGCTGCCCCCAGAAGGGCCAGTCCCTGCGGCTGACTCGGGCAGAGTCTCTGCGCGGCCTCTTGCTTCGAGGGGTTCGTGCGGGCCTAGCAGCCGCCTGGCTGGCTGGGGCTAACTCGCGGGCTGTGACAGGGCGATGCCGAGCCAAGTGTCCCTCTAAATGGCGTGGGGCCACCGGTGACTTCCCCGCCCTCCTGGGGCTGTGTCCGCTTTTAGCAACGTCCTAACCCTGTCCCCTCAGCAGGGCTGGATTTCCAATTAGGCACAGTAGGCACGTGCCTAGGAGTGCCTAAAAGTTAAAAATGGGTTAAAAGTTTCAATTTTTATGGACAACAGGAAGGTGCAGCCTTGTCTGGAATACTGTGGGCAGAACTGGTCCCACTGTCTCAAAAAAAAGATATTGTAACATTAGAGGAGCGTTCAGAGAAGGGTGATGAGAATGATTAAGCGCCTGTAAACATATTCATGAAGGTTTCAGAGTAACAGCCCGTGTTAGTCTGTATTCGCAAAAAGAAAAGGAGTACTTGTGGCACCTTAGACAGTATGCATCCAATGAAGTGAGCTGTAGCTCACGAAAGCTTATGCTCAAATAAATTGGTTAGTCTCTAAGGTGCCACAAGTACTCCTTTTCTTTTTATATTCATGAAGACAGATTGAAAGGATTGGGATTGCCTGCTTTAGGAGATGAATAAGAGGGGACATGATAAAAGCATATAAAAATGAATGGTATAGGGAGCTTCTGTTTTCCCTGCCCCATAATACAAGAAAAGGGGGACATTCAATAAAATTAAAAGGTGGCAAATTCAAAACTGAGAAAAGGAAATAGTTTCACACAATGCGTGTTTAAACGGTAGAACACATTGCCACCGGAAGTCAATGAGGCCAAGAATTTAGCAAGCTTCAGAAAGAGTTTCGCTATTTATATGGATAACAAGAATAATGGAGTTAGCATTAAACCCATGTTTCAAGGTTTAAGCTGATTGCTAGTTATTTGAGATCATGATGAGACCTAATGTGGGGTGCATTTCTGCTTATTGTAGAGTTCTTACACCTTTCTGAAGCATCTGGTGCTGGCTGCATTAGATGCTGAGTTATATATACTTGATCAGACCTGAAGTCTGGCAGTTCCTATGATGATTTTGTACAGGCAGAACTAGAGGTGGTGATGGATGATGCAAGTGCCTTGTCACCAGAAGTGTTTCTCTTCTGGGGGATGGAAGAAGAGAGGAAATACAGTTCTGTGTGCCACAATGAGCGGCTACCCTTATAGCAAAAAGAAAAGGAGTACTCGTGGCACCTTGGAGACTAACAAATTTATTTGAGCATAAGCTTTCGTGAGCTACAGCTCACTTCATGCTGTAGCTCACGAAAACTTATGCTCAAATAAATTTGTTAGTCTCCAAGGTGCCACGAGTACTCCTTTTTGCGAATACAGACTAACATGGCTGCTACTCTGAAACCTACCCTTATAGCAGAGGTTTTCAAACTGTGGGGACCTCTCACCAGTGGTGCAGAGGAACATTCCGGGGGGGAGACGGGACACGGACGAGTGGTGATGCCAGGCGGCTTAGGCTTCAGCCTGGCCTGATGGGGTTCGGGGAGGGAGTGCGCCACCTCCACCCCGGCTCACCTCTTTTTGTCTGGGTTGACGAGGGTGCAACCAAAAATTTTAACTCAAAGGGGTTTGAAAACCTCTGCCTTAGAGTCTTTTTGCATAAACGGTGTATTTTAATTTCTTTATGGGGAGGGGGAACTATGTAGATACAAGTCAGAGGGAGAAATCATAGCAATTGCATTGGGTTAAGGAGAATGGCGAGAGATTGATAAATGTGGGGTGCCTTGCCCCCAAAGTGTTACTTAGAAAATTATGGTTTTAACACTGCATTTATATTTATGGACTTAATTCTCTCTCTCTCTGTGCTCCACTTCAGGAGTATGGCTACCTTTCAGCAAAAGATCTTAAATATGCTCAAGTGTTTTAGAAGAGAATGGTGCTTATTTTCAGACTCAGAAAGGACTACTGTTTGTAGTTCAGACGGCATGATGATGGCTTTACAGCTATCAATGGCTGAAGTCAATAAACAGGTTAGTGCTCTATCAATGGAAGTTGTTGGGTGATCAGTACTTATGAAAACCAGGCTGCTTTGTTTAGGCATTAATAATATTTAGGAGCCTTAACTTTAGGCACACATTTTAAAATATTGGACTTTGACTTTTGTATACCTAATTTCTCAACTTCAATATTATAATAATTTTTCTGAGGTTTGCATTTTTCATATACCTTCTCAATTTCTCCTTTTTCCTTCCATGTTCCTTCTGACCACTAGGGGGTAGATTCACAAAGGAGCTTGGTTGTGGTGATGCTGAGTGTTGCCACACCTAACATTCAGGTGCCTAGAAAATCGCTGGGATTCCCATAGCTTGAGTTTGGTGCCACTGTACAATGAATGTACAATGGAGATAGAGGCTACTCAGAATGGGAGTCACAAAAACCAGGATGCTAGGGGCTCATTGCCTGAGGTGCCAAACTGAGCAATGTGTGCGAAGTCTGCTTTGTAGATACTCGGGATAAATCCTTGTGTTAGGTGCCTGTGACACTGCACCACATATTCATCACAGTGATGATATATGATTATGACATAATTCACTTTATGCAAGATAAGTAATGTGAGATGTCATTGGAAAGGTTATGATTTACTGAATGATTATCCTATTTGAGTGCATGTATCATTTTTGTATCTGAAGTTAAGAAGATTGACTATACATTTGTATTACAAATGTGTTTATGCCTGGGGAACACCCACTAGGCAAAAGGCTCAGTCTAGGTGGATGGCTGTGAAAGGCCCATTCAGGTTACTGAGCCATTAGGAAAAAAACAATAGGTCTTAGAAGAAGCTTATCTCTCACCAGGGTGGGGGTAGGGGAGACTTCCTGAGGATGCTACAAACAGCTGCTGACTCATGGCTGCTATGACACTACAGGGACATGTGATCAGGTCACCTGGTGCTGGACTCCATCTTGGGATATCAGTGTTTTTTCCACTGACTGGCATGGGAACCAAGCTTTGAAACAAAGGGTTCCTGCCATATGAAAAGGCTATTTAAGGCAGGAGAGGTGACATCATCATGGTTCTTCAATGACTCCCCACCCAAAGAGACTCTTGGAAACACCTGAGGAACAAAGACTGAACTGGCATAAATGCTGGACCCAGGCTAAAGGGATTTTTAGCCTGTGAATGGAACATCTGGGGATTCCAAGCTGTAAACCAGTGCAGCTTGCCTGTTAAGAATCTGCAGCCTGCTTGTATCCTCGCTTAGGGTGAGGATTTGCTATTCATATCCAATATACTACATAGATTAAGCTTAGTTTGTGTGTTTTGTTTATATGCTGGGTAATCTTCTTGCTATCCAATATAAATCACTTAAAATCTATCCTTTTTGTAATTAATAATCTTTTATGTTTTAATCCAAACCAGGTGATTTGATTTGATTAAGGTGGTCTGGGGAAAATCTCAGCTTGGTTACCACAAGTGTACCTGGCTCTCTTCACACTGAGGGAGAGGTGGACTGGGATTAAACCCATAAAGTGGTCAGATTTGACAAGGGAAGGCTGGTACTACTCTGGGGTCCTAGGTTGGGAGTTAGTCTGCATGTAACTGCAGCTGGGTGTGTCCCTACCTGTGTGACTGCTGCTGAAAGTGCAAGCTTGGAGGGCTTTGCAACTTGTCACAGCAGCACTGTGTGAGAGAGAGCCCAGGCTGGTGAGGCAGAGGGCTCAGTGGTACACCAGTTCCAGATGGCACCCCAGGAACCTGTCACAGTGCCTATACTCTCTTAGCAAGAATCTGGAGTGGGGAGAAAAGAAGGAGCAGGAGGACCTCCCTCATAACTTTTAGCCCATGGTTAGGGGGCTCACCTGGGATATGGAAGACCCCCTGTTCACATCCCCCTCCTCTGTGGATTAATAATGAAAGAATCATGGGGGGGGGGCAAGAAGAGGGGCTGAGAGAGAGAGGAGGAAGAAGAAACAACACATAAGCATGAGTGACTCTGTAGCCGGGTGGTTAGAGTACTCACCTAGGAGGTAGGAGACCCAGGATCCAATCCCCCTACTCTAATAACTTTTTAAAAAATTATTTATCCAAACTGAACAACTTCAACAGGGAAGACTGAGAGAGTCTCACATCAGAATATCCTGTAGCAACCCAATGGTTAGGGTACTTTACCTCGGAGGTGGCTGATCACTGTTCATAACCCCTATCACTTCAGGCGTGGGGATGGGACGGGATTTGACCTGGGATACGGGAGACCCCCTACTTGACCAGCAATTAAGTATTCTAAAAGTTATAAGGGAAGTCCTCTTCCTCCTTTCTCCCCTCCAACCGAACCCCATGCTTTGTGTGAATTCACCTATAGGGGCTTGATCTGATTGGTGAGTTCTGAATATACTTCCTGGATTGGGCCCCACAGGAGTGTTAGGTGGAAGAACATCTACCTGTCTTCCCCCAGGTCGTATACTGGGTCATGCCTATACTACAAAATTACGTTGACTTAAGTTAGGTCAATCTATAGCCACTGCAGTAATTAAATAGTCTCTTTGTGCCCTCATTATGCTTCTTCTGTTGGTGGTGTGCGCCTCACCAGGAGTGCTTGCACCAATTTAAATGGGGCATTGTGGGGGCACTGACAGCTGGAGCCCTGCTGCCCAGGGGTAGTGGGATTCATGCTGTCAAAGGCAGCAACAGGCGATTTAAGCAATGTAGTGTTTACACAGACACTGTGTTGACCCTACTACATCAACCTAAGCGCTATCACGGAGGTGGAGTTATTAAGTCGGTGTAGTGGGCAACTTAGAACGGTGGGAGCAACATGATCGTGTAGACGCTTACAGAGTTAGGTCGACGTAAGCTGTCTTGTGTCAACCTAACTCTGTAGTGTAGATCAGGCCTTACTCTGGGGCTTACGTGTCGGGATGCTAAAAGGGAGGCTGCAGTGCACATGCACCAGTTAATTGTCTTTTTGTGCCTTATGCACCGGGAGAAGACTGAGTGGTTTTTCTTGTTGTCCTCTTCTTCTGTTCCTTTTCCATCACTTCTCCTAATGAAGCCCCAGATTTGGACCTCACTGGAGAGGTCAGAACATTGCTACTGCTGTGGCCAGGACAGTACACTAAATGATGGCGTCGTAGCTTAGCCCACTGTAGGTCAGTCTGACCAGCGTGTGTCACTGATACAGCAGTCTCCTCACTGAAGGGTGTCTGTTGGCTGAGGTGAATGATCAGTCTATCCACTATTGCCTGTCTTTTTGATTATGTTTACTGCCTAGTTAAATGATATTAGTGTGGGTGATCTGGTGTGCCCTCACTCATGCTAAGGAAGTAAATTCTGTTGCATTATACTCTCACTTCAGAGATATTGTATAAGCTCAATCCCCATTAAGGAACTTGGCGAGCTGTACTTTGTCTTGTTTAGGGTTTCATCTTTTTTTTTTCTTTTTTCTTTTTTCTTTTAAATATCTCCATGAGGGCCAAAACACAAAGTGTGATCCCATAACATGTAATTAACAGATGTTTGTATTTTATTGGTACATAACTTAATTACTTAGTGTGGTATGAAATATTTTGAACACAAATAAATACTAAAAAGCGGTGTTTTAATGACGCTCAAAGATCATGCATTGTGACAGTTTGGGGAACATGTCTGTGTCTAAATATGAATTCCTCTGTTTTATAGCATTTAATTGTAACCTTCAGAGTGAATTTAACTTCCATTTTTGTAGCAGAAAACAGGCGAAGTCTGGGAAACTGAACCATGGCCATCAACAAGTCATCAACATTGATTAGCTCTACCCCAGAGTTAGAGGCAGATCTCTTGACTTCTAATAACTCTTTGTCAGCAATCCCATACAGGGTTGCAGGAAGGAAAATCCCAGCAGAAAACAGGACCAAAGAAAAATTGTTGCTGTTTCTAAAAATGATATGCTCTTTAAGCAAGGGGAGCTATGTCATTGCCAGAACCAGAAATCTCCACAGAAAGAATGGTGGCAGGAGGGACCTGGCCCCCCTTAAGGACTTGAACCAAACCCAGAGACTCACAACAGGGGTGAAACCAGTCTAATGGGGACAGTATTCAGAAGCTTTGTTTTGCATAGCTCTAACTCTTGCAAATGTGTGTTTGCAAAGCCTCAAAGGAATGTGTATTTCTTGCTTTAATATCACATGGTCCCCAGAAAGTTAAACTATAATCCAGAGTGTCTGTGGGGGTAAACTGAGAGAATGCATAAACTACTGGGTTGGTTTGGGAAACTCAGAATGGGCCTGAGGGAAGAGAGAAGTTGGGATTTTGCAGTCTTCCTGCCAACAAGGGGTGTTGGGCAGTGAATCTGCATCTCAGTGGTATGCCTGAGAGGCCCAAGTTAAACACCGATCTTGGCTGCTGCTCAGACAAGGTTATCTTGAAACTCTGGGGGATCCAAAGGTTGGATCCCATACAGCAGAATGGTGACCATCTACCAGAAGGACTTTGCCAGGGACAGGGCTATAACATGCATCTCTTTCCATCTTTAAACAACTTTTACAATAATAGCAGTTGCCTTGCTAACTAATTAGCCCTAGAAAGAACCTGCAGTACCTGTGAAGTCTCTTTATAAAAATAAACCCTCTAAAACCTGAAAAATTAAGATTTAATCCTAGAATGAGCACAGCCTCTAATAAAAGTCCAAAGAGAGTATGTGTGATATAATATACTAGTAAAAAGTGCAACTGAAGTGCTTTTAAAATGTGTAACCCTTGTATTTCACAAGCATAAAACAAGGAAAGCAATCTTCCTGATGTCTATCACAGAATGAAGGCACTGAACTTTTTGAACTTCCTTCAGATATTAGCCAGCTGGCATGTGCTCCTAGCAAAACATTTTCTCATTTTTAAAAAGCACAGCCTCTCTCAATCAGTTCTATGAATAATAGAATATACTGTCATGGTGGGCACCTGATCATGGAAATGGATATCTGAAGTGCATTTTTATTTGGATTTAAAATGTTTTTACAACACCAATATAAACACTGTTAATCTCTGCAAGTTCTTGATCT